ATAAAAGGTACTAAGGCTAGAGGCGGAGAGGAAAGCCTCATCCTTGAGCCAGTCCGGATGGGGTACCCAATTCTTGGGTACGGTTATTTCAGTTCCATCATCCAGAGGCATGATGGTCCTCTTGAAAAACTCCGGCTCCATTATTTGTGCCCAAGCCTCCTCCGGGACACGCGGAAGGACACACTTTTTCCCCAGGAGAGCCGGCTCCTTATTTTAGTGACAGAGCATACGATTTAGACGTCTGGATGGAGAGGAAACCAAGTAGAACTTGCTTTTTCAGTTGCTCCACTTAGACGGTTTATCAAGTGTCATTATATACTCCAGATGCGTGGTTAAAGTGTACCACGCCTTCCAGCCGCCTGGGGCACGACTTAAGTAGTGCATATGTGCAAACGCCTCCCAGCTGGGCGTTATGACCTGCATCTCGCAGGCGGCGATATAACTAATGATGTTCACCGAGGAATTGGGGGTGAGTTGCCATACGCCCAGATCATTGCCCCTCAAGATTGATTTTATTGCGTCATGAAAGGGGAATCGGAGGCCGGCTTTGAATGCTGGCTCACAGCAGCCGAAATAATTGTCGGCATGCTCAATATCGTCATCCCAGACGATTGTCGCCTCTGCAGGCGGCACGATTATTTCCCATCTATCCCCCACTGGCATTTCTCTACAAAGGCGGGGAAGCTTGCTGTTAGGGTGACTATATCTCTGGCGGACATGTGTGCCTCAGTAAGGTTGGTTATAGACAACCACTTATATGCCTCATCCTCTTCACTAACGGCATCCGTCTGATGTGAGGTCGACTTCTCCGAGCCGGATTGTTGGGCGGCCTCAGCGCCATCTCCTTGATCAGAGTCTTTTAAAATACCGTCACTCGGAGTGCTAGGTGCACCCGGAGGACAGTTATATTATATGTTAGTCGACACCTCAGCTGAGCCGTCTGTTCTATAATCTGGGTCAATGGTCGTCCGCTTCGTCCGAGCCATATTGTCATGCACATGCATAGAGACGGTCAGATTCGAGGAAAAGCAAGGGTGGTCCAAACACCCGCAGGCGGCACCCCCAGTCCTAGAATCAGCTGTACCAGGAGACTGGCTGACCACTGTCCTAGGCTGTGCCGTGTGTGTTGTGGGTGAATCCATTATTCAATGTAATATATACAGACGATAAAAGCTTGAAAGAGTTGTGAAGGGGAGGGACGGTACCTCGAAGATTTTTTTGTAAGTGAAGAAAAGCGTTGACCGGCTGTGATTGGCAGGAGAAAATCAGTCAGCTGCTTGAGAGAGGTACAGACGGTTGACCGGATGTACCCACTTTGAAAGCAAGAGAATTGGTTGGAAGGTGCCTAGACGGTAGTCCGGCTATATCTAGCTGAAAATGGGGGCCGTTCTGGAATATCCCCTGGTGGTTATGAGGTTTCTTGTTTGTGAGCTACACAAACGGTATACCGACTGTGTCAGGCGGAAAAGGCAGAAAATTGTGAAAACAAAGGCAGATGGGGTCAGAGCTTCTCTCTCTAAAATCTTCTTTCTCAAACTTTTCAGATTTCTAAAATGAGAAAGGGGAGGGGGGGAGTCTTACTTATAGAAGGGATGGAAATAAGGGAACCCCTATAACTTCCCCAGAAGGCGAACCGTTAAAAAAAAATAAAAAAAATAAAATAAAAAATAAAAAAATTTCACCCGTCAGCATGTGACACCAGTCACAGGCGCCACGTGGCACGCCACGTCACACCTGTGAGGAGCAAATGATTTGGGTAAAAAAAACCCCCAAGGCCACGTGGCCCAATAAGATGGTGACACGTGCCACCCTTAGAGAGGTTCAAAATTAACCTCTCATCTGCTGACACGTGGCATCCTCAATCATTGGGAAAAAAGTGGCCTTCAAGGCCCAATTCCTGAGAAAGCCCACCATTCCTAGGTTTCCGTAACCTAGAATGGCGGCACAAATTCCAAGACTATAAATAGGGAGATATTCCCACTTGGGAGGACATATACACATATTTACTGAAAACAGAGCAATCATTAATTGCAGATATTCTCCACTGAGAGAGCACTCTTGATCTCGGAATCCGAGAAGATACTTTACTTTCCGCACTTTTTACATCATCCGAACACGTTCTAACTTGATCGTCGGAGGCGGAACTCCTCCCAACCGGACTCTCCGTTGTTTTGCAGGTACAGGCGCTTGGAATCCAGTCTTGGTGTTGTAACTCTCCCGAGGGATACAGAAAACCCTGAAACAAGCATATACTTCTTTCCCTTAAAAGAGAATTACCAAAAGTGATGATATAATGATTTAAATTAATTTTGATCACAAAACCTAACCACATTATAAAATATATATCGAACCTTCTATGCCTTAGCGTCTTCTCAATAATCATGATTTACATTTTACTTTACCTACTCATTTAGATTTGGACTGTTAAACTATACATACAAAAATAAATGTTTAATCATCTAATGTCAGAATTACTATAACAAATAACAATAACAACAGAAAAAGGAAGCAAAACCAACACAAACACTGCATTCTATGAGATAAGCAAAGTAAATAGTACAACAAATGTTACATTCCTTCTCTTGAATACCTACTAAATAGGTAGATAGATAGACATTTACATCCATACTAAATATAGCCACTACCTTATTCCTTATTATAAAAAAAAAGGAAAAAAAAAAACAACCTTCAAGCAACTACCAAAATATTTGATACCACAACTTAGTCCCGAAATAATGCAATCTTCAGATCAATAGGATCCCGACTGTTCAAGAACATGTAACCAAGTCTACCCACACATACACAGGTTTCAGACAATATTTCTTCGACCATAAACAACTTCCCTATCATTAACCATTATCTCCACTAGAGCATTCCAAGTCCGACCACCATAGCAAACTCGAATTAGAGTGAGCATGTTAGCCTGAGGAAACAACTCAGGAACAAAATCCAAAGGCAAACTCTGCAAAGAATAAGTAACAAAAAATATATATATTAGTTTACACATACCAATGTAGCAGATGATAAGTAAATTTACAATACAACCAGCCACTCTAATTCAAACCATGTTGGTGAGATCACAAGAGGAAAAGCAGGTCTGCTTCCAACACCTAGCATTATTTCTCTTGGTGTAGGACTTGATACATTCCGTACATAATCTCTCACATTACCACTTCTTGCCTCAAGGGAAGAAAACCTTTCATCCATTGAAGAAGCAAAAATCCTTACATAAAACCTTCGATCCCCATGCTAGCATAATAAATAATAATGATTTCACCATTGACTAAGTTATTATCCCCGACAAATTGATCCCAGCCAATATCAAGGATCATATTACAATTCTTGTCATCCATGTATTTTAACAACTGCACCTTCCAAATCCTGTTGTTACTCCCACGAATCACCTCTATAGGACTATGGACACCACTCAACATAGAAGTCCAACTGTCCGGTAATACCTGACATTGCACAACTAATGATACACAAAAAAAAACTACTTAATATCATATTTAAAAAAAAAAAGAACTAAGAAACCAAAATAAAGAAAGAGAACAAAACATATTCACATACCAACACATTCTTGCAATCATCTCTAAAAAAACTAAATGGCATGGCAAATCCTTATACATTTTCACAAACAATACACAACAAATCTTTAATTTATAAGTAAGCAACAACACTACTATCACAACTTGCAAAGTTAAAAGAATTGTAGTAGCATATTTATAAGACAATAACTACAAAAGAATAGGGTTTCAAAAAGTCTTTGGCACAAATGACAAACAAACAACATGATTTATCTATCACTGACTCAATCCAAATAATGTCAAACCAAAAATGCACTGCCTTTATTCAATCCCCATCTATCATACCCAAAAAAATCCCTCCCTTGAAACTCTCAAAGTAATTCATATTTATCCAAAAAAAAAAAGATTAAAATCAAACATACCTAGAAAACCAAATCAATGTAGACTTATCAACACATTACTAACTCCAAAATATATAATCCCCAAAGGCAATAGATTAGCAAAACAAGATAATAGAAAAAGTAACCAATGCTTAATATTGCTAAGTTGCTAACCATAAACATCAACTTAAATACACAAAAAAACTAACTTATTACATCTTTGGCTACCCACATAATTCGAATTCCAAAAACAATCCAAATTAATTGTCAAGATTTGCTATACAAGTTTGACCAAGAACAATTACAACACCATATCAAATCAATGCTAAATTAAAACATCTTTCAAGAAAGCTAATTGCTAAAAATTATACAAGTTGCTCCAATAACATCAAAGAAAGCTAATTTCTATTAAAATAAAAAAAATTCACAACAATATGGCACCCATCATAGTAAAACAATAACCTTAACAATCAACAAGGGAAAAAAAACACAAAACATGTAATCATACATCCTAAATTAGTTCATTACAGAAACACGCATACTATTTTACCTTAAACTATAATCCATTCATGCATAAAAAGTAACTTCCTCTTTTAACCTTGGATACCTAACAACAACAAATCATACGACCATCAAACATATCCAACGGTTGGGGGGGGGGGCGCTCCAACAACTAGTAAACAAAAAAAAAAAAAAAAAAACTTGTCGTATGTCAATTAGAGCTGATCACACTGAGCCCGACCCGATTTTGGGTAGGATTTTCAGCCTGGCCTAATTTTAAGAAAAGTTTGGACGGGCTTGGAAATGGGATTTTATGCAATTTTAGTTAATTTTTTTTGGCTCGGCCCGAAAAGCCTTACGGCCCGGCTAGTTTGGGTGGGTTTGGATACATATTTTCTGGCTTGGCCCGACAAATGGGTGAATTTTTTTTACCTCGACCCGGCCCAAACCCGTCTCAACCTGCCCAATTATCACCTCTAATGTCAACCCAACCCAACCCAACCATCCTGCACGTGTAGCCTCCAGGGGGTAAATTCTAGACATAAACATAAGAGAAAAACACGTGTAGAAGGACGATAAATAGCGATGAAGAAAAGCATGGTAGCAGAAGAAGAAAGAAATGTCGACCGTTAAAATAACACCAGTCGCGTATTCTCTCTCATCATCAACCTTTCAAACGTCAGATAATCTCAAACCCCCATTTTCATCACCACAATCGCACCATTTTTACTCAGAATTTCAAGCATTCTACCAGAAGATCTCTTACTTTTTCAATGGCTTCTTCGGATCCTCTCCAAATTTGTGTCAAGGAATCTATCACCACTCCCAACAAGCTTGGCGATTGTACTTCTCTCTCTTTCTTCCAATTTTATTGTTTTACTATATAATTTGATTGTTATAATGCTGAATTTCTGTTTTAATGGTTATAATTTTGTTTTTGAAGCATAATTGTGTAATTGGATACTCGTATTTTGAATTTATGAATTTTTATTTTTATTTTTATTTATTTATTTATTTATTTTAATCAGGGTAATTGAGGAAAATGTGATTGTTTGAGGTTTTCTGGTTGAATTTTCAAGTTGAATTTATTGGTTATTAGATTAGATGATAAAAGGTATACTGTCTTGTACTAGGAATTTGGGCTCATAAATTGTCACCAGACTTAACAGATACTCGTACAACCGTTACGCGTAATCTGAATTAGTATTGTGACAACTATATCCTGACTCGGAGGATATTAAATAAGTACTCCACTAATAAAATATGGCCACTCTTGAGGGTAATATGCAGAAATTTTCAGTGTGCAATAATAGATATTTTATTTTCCTAGTGTTTCTGCTTTTTATACCGTTTTGTATTAAAGTCTCAGCATTGGTTGTATGGCTGGTTTGATTATCCGCTATTTGTTTGGGTTAAGGTCTTTTTGTCTACTTGATTGAACTACGGAGTACATTATTAAGCTATGTTTGGTTATGAGGTTATTGAGACATAAAAGTGAGAATGCAGTGTAAAATATCTGGTCATTATGTTTGGCGTACAATAACGGAGTAGAAGAGAATTAGAAGACTTAGAAGAACAAATGTATATTCCAATTTACTTGTCCCATATCTATTTGCACAAAATATCATGCAAGTTAGAGTAGAGAGAAAAATGGGCAGGAGAGTGTAGAACCTAACTCTAGAGATAATGTAGAGAGTAAAATTCCTATTTGAGAAGCAGGGTAAGTATAATGGGGCTGAGGTAATACTTTTAGGGGCCGGTTGGTGTAACAAGGAATGGGAAACAAGGAGAATGGAAACAAAAACCCTTAAGGGCCGTTTGGTTCATCTAAGGGAAAGGGAATGACTAAAACAAAGGGAAGAGAAGAATAAAATGTAATCCCTTTGATTTACTATGTTGTTTGTTTTAAATAACAATGGGAATGTGTGCCACCATACAATCACCATGCGACCTCCTCTTCGCTTCTCTTTCTCTCTTTTTCTGGACACCATGAAGACCCCAACCACCCACCTTAGCCACCTATCCCACCACCTCCCCCGCCGCCCGTCCCCTTCCCCTCAATCCCTCCCCCCCCCCAAAAAAAAACCCTTAAATTCAAACCGTTCTCGTATGTTGCTTTGGTTCTTCATTTTAATTTACACAACACTTCAATTTTCATGATGAAAACTTTATTTGTCTAGGCCACATGTTTGTCAGGGAAAAGTGTAAAAAGAGGGGGGTGGGGAGGAGAAATTATGTAAAATATGCTCGCAAACAAACTTAATACATAATTTTAACAAGGCCTAGAATTTACATTAAATCTAAGTGTGTGCATATGTAATTAAAATATTAAGAAACATGTTTCATGAATTCCCTGCCCTGTGTTCAAGTTTAGGATAGAATCCATGTCTACAATTTCAGGCCTTGATGTGCAACACATTTTTTTGTTTTCACTAATGGCTATTTCTCAGTTATTTTGATGCACAGCTGAGAAATTAATGCAGCATTGGTTTTGTCGGAGTATATGCTAGAAAACTTTCACAAAATTTTTGCTACAATCTTTCAATCAGTTTATTTTTCCGTTGTAATGCCAGGTCCATTTTGCCAAAGAGTGTTGTTAACTTTGGAAGAAAAGCATCTCCCATATGATATGAAGCTGGTTGACTTAACTAACAAGCCAGAGTGGTGAATTGTTTGCAGCTTCTAGTCATTTTAATTTCTTTTTTCCCTGAAATTTGCAATTTAATAGTTAGTTTTTGAATCATTTTGCTGTCAGGTTTACAAAAATCAATCCAGAGGGTAAAGTACCTGTGGTGAAATTCGATGAAAAATGGGTTGCAGATTCAGATGTCATTGCAAAGTCCCTAGAAGAGAATTTCCCAAACCCACCTTTGGCAACCCCTCCCGAGAAGAGTTCAGTGTATGTTCCCCACCCCATTGTTTATGGGTTTTGATTTTGGACATATGCAGTTAATCTTGGTTCAGAAATCATCTACACAGTATTCAATATTTAACTTTGATCAGATCACCAAAAAGAGAAAAACTACATTACCCTGCCTCATCGGTTGCTTTGTTGTTGATTTAAGTTGTACTTTTTTTGTGAAAATTATGTTTAGATGGAGAAATATCATTTTTGAAGTTTATCTATTCTCAATAAATTGTACCCCGTATGCGTTTTGCCTTGTAATTGCAATATGTAAGTACGAGAGTTAAGAATTTATGAAAAGTAAGAGAATTAAGATATTGAATTGTTACACTAGCATACCACCCTTTTTTTGGATTTCCTCCTCTTGTTTTCATTATGATATTAAGAGTCAGCAATGTCAAAATTGTAATTGCCAGCATGGTCATGGATCAGTGAATGTAGCATATTGCTGGTGTTACATTTATATTTGCTGACATGAATGGATATTCTGTCTTGGACTTTGTAGATTGTACAAATTAATATTCTCTTATGGGAAGGAGTAACCTTTTCCTTGTTTTGTTCTGTTTTGATGTGAGATTCTGTCTGAACAATCTTAATGAGTATAAGAGCTGGAGTCTTGTAGATTTGAGATTTTGCTTATTTATGATATTTAATGAATTTGATAGGCGTAATCAGCTTAGTAATGGATTTCAATGACAAATCCGTCAGCATAAAAACCTATGCAAATGCTGCTATGTGATGTTCTGTCCACATTACGTATTGAATATCACTCTACAATAAGCTGAAATCATTTGTTTGTTTACAATACGGTGTAGCCATGTATTTAAGTGCCTCTTTCGCTTCAATGACTGAAAGAATAATAGAATAGCATACAATCTTCATAGACAATATTGAGGTATGAGGTTTATACTTAGCTGAATGACAAGTTAGACATGGCGTTCATGTGATTGAATTTTTTAAGTTTGTGTGAGATGGCTTTACTATTTGTACCCTTGCTAACTTGGTTTCCTGTATCATATCGGGCTTCCTGGCAGTGCCACAGTATAAATATTAGACTGTTTACTACTTTACTGCCTGCATTCCTGCACCACTCTTTATTTGGTTGTGTTTTAAGAGATGAGGTACAGTGAGACTACCTTCCACTTTTGGTTTTGTAGCTAGATTGTCAGTGTCTCAAACTCTGGCTGTTTTTTGTGCAGTGGTTCAAAGATTTTTCCTGCGTTTGTTGGCTTCCTTAAAAGCAAGGACCCCAGCGATGGAAAAGAGCAGGAATTACTTAATGAGCTCAGTTCCTTCAATGATTACCTGAAAGAAAATGTGAGATCCTTCTTCCCTGGCACAACCTTCTCCCCTTCCCTTCTTCCCCACAAACCCATTATATCCAACTATCTAGTATTGAATTGTAATAAGACGAAATTTATGCATTGTATTAAATCATTACCGGATCTCCTTTTTCATGTTTACCTCTCTCATTTGTTGTTAAAGCTGCTTGAGATTGCTAAGTATAGGCAGACATGAATGTGCTGGTGATAGGCGATCACAAGAACCTTTAAATAAAAACCCTAACTTGGTCCATTTAGCTATGTAGTATGATGGGTAAAGGTTAATCAATAGGAAACCTATTGCAAGCACTTTTGCCACAATGGTAAGCTAAGTTCAGTCTAGATTTAGAGAATAATGATCTCTAGAGTCTTTACTAACATGTAAGTACCAAAAACTATGCTTATTAAAGGTATCAAAAGTCTTGAAATGAAATAGTAAAGCAATAAAACTAAGATGATTATCAATAAGAGAAAACATAAAGCTAGGAATACTCCCACAATAAGCAAAATACGGCAACATAGATCAATTAAGAGGGAGAATATTCAGTTTCTTGCTAATGACATGATGAGTTTTAATCGTGCTGGACTCCAATAATTGATTGTTTTGAGATCATCTTATGAAATACCAAAGGATTAAACTACAAGTTAAAAATTTATGGAAATAGGACCTTCTAGGTAGGGGGAAACTCATTATTGGAATATAAATTTTTTTTTTTTTTTTTCCTAGGTAGTTTCTTGACTCCATGCAAATAGGTGATTAACTAAGAAGTCAAGCATACCATATTTGGCTTAAAAAGTTATAAGAGAACTTAAGGTAGCCAAGGAAGTATCTCTCTCAGCCATGATCATTTAATATATGCCATCAGGTCTGGGGTTTTCTATTTTTTGATTTTTTTGTTTCTCAAAATCATTTTATATATGCCATGTAATGAATAAAAAGTTGGTCAAACTTATTAAAATCATGATAATTTTGAAACTGACGTGAAAACACCTTTTTTTTATTTTTTGTTTTTGACTTTTGTCTTTTAAAAATAAAAAAACTGAAAACAAAAAATGATGCCAACCAAGCCACCGAGTACCCCAAATTAATCCATTAACCTATATTTACATGATTGGTTTTTACCATAGCCCTAGAAGCTTAGACTATTCACCACTCATGATTTAGAGCAAAACTAAAACAACTTTAAGCACTTTATTTAGATTAAATTAAGTAGGGATTAAGCAAGGAATCAGCAAAAGCATGAAGCTAAATGATGAGAAAGAGTAAGTAAAATTCTCAAGAAGCTTCAAAAGAAGTAGTTGAAATCTTCCTAAATAAGTTTGAAATCTTAGTTCCAAAACTATTTATAGCTTAGCTTCTTTGGGGAACAGAAGAACATCCCCTATATATAAGGATAGTGAAATGGAAAAAATTAGACAATCCAAAGAAGTTCCTATTAGTTATTCTTTGAAAAGGGGTCTAGTTTCAGCAGAGCCCAGTCATCTTTTTGCTTTCACTACTTATTTAAGGTGTGTTCTCTCTTTAAAAAAAAATAGTTTAAAGTCTAATAAGTTTAGATAAGTTTCAATTAGAAGTTTTATAAGTTCAAATCTGATCTTATAAGTTCTAATAAGTTTCAATCAGGTCAAATTCATCCCCACCCACCCAAAAACCACCCCTACTACTGATTGGCTACCCCACCCCTTGAAATCCACCCTACCTTGTTGAATCCACCCCACCCACTTGAAAACCCACCCCCACCCTAGAAAAACAAGATCCAAGAGATAGAAAAGGAGATGGCAATAGCGATACAGGCGGTGGTTCAATGAGATCTGGTGGAGATGAATTGAGAAATGAAGGAAGGAGATACTGTTGGTGGTTCAATATGTTTATATATATTTTTAACTTTCTCTTTGTACCGGAAGAACAACAAAATTGGCAATCCAAACCTTGGCCGCTTTAAACATGAATTCTAATTAATCGCAAGGGATAACTTTACAACCAAGGTAAGATTTTTTTGGTGATGGCCTTGGAAAATGCGTCGGGGACACCTTGGTAAGTGGCGCGAAAGGTGGAATCGACCATCGGAGCAGGGAAAAAGTCGATGGAGAAAGATGGTGGTTTCGGGAGGTTGTTTGTGATAGTGGTGGTTGTTGTGGTGGCGGAGATTGGGTGGAGATTTAGGGTTTTATAGTTGTTTAAGGTGGTGACTTCACCCGAGTTTGTCGCCGACGCCGCCGTCTTCGGCCGTTGGTGGAGATGATTGAAAATGATAAGATGGAAATAAGAGAGAGGGGAGTGCAAATAACAAGTTAATTGGGTGCATTTAAGAATAAGAAGTTAATGCTTGAAATGATAGTCAACGCCGGAAAAGTACACAAAGGTTTCTTTTGACAAAAAAAATGTAAGTTGGTCATTTTTGTTTGTCAAAAAATTTAAAGGATTTTTCTGACAAATTTTCCTAATTACAAGTATGTAATATTAATAGATGAATCGTTATAATAAATGTATTACTTTACTTCTAGCTAATTTTTTAATAGTTATTGATTTGTACTTTGTAGTTTTTAGTAATGACTTTACAAGTTCAAGTCCAATCATGTGAAGAGAACTCACCCTTAAAAAAGTTCTTTCCGTTCCAAAAGTGAATGTAGTGTCTGGTAAAGCAAGGTCCTTCTTCAACATTTTAGCTTCATGCTTCCCCCTTGCGAGCTCGTGAGCCTGATAGTCAGTTATTTAAGGCTCATGATTGAACGGAGTTGTCTCGGAAGGCGTACTTTGAATGCCTACATGGTAGAGAGCAATGCAAAGAATTACAAAAGAGTCTAAAAACATTTAAGATTGCCAAAATAAATCTAGAATGAACTCAAGGGGAATAGGAAATAAATCAAAACTGAACTCTTAAGGGGAAAAGGAATGAATCTACTTAAATTGCAAGGTCTAAAGTGAGTTAAATCTCTTATCGTGATTGATGACCTTTGTTGGGGTTTAAAACCAAATTTCCTACACTGAACTATACAGTGGATTCTGTCAGCACATGAAATGATTGTAATTAATACAATTGCTAGATGGTGTTGCTTTATTTTTTCCTTTTGAGTGAATAATTTCATGTAATACTATCTAATGTAGTCTAGTTTAGTGACTTAACAGAGACATACAAATGATACAAGGCTTTTTTCTGGAGCTTGTCCATGTATGTCACTCATTCTGATGAAGGCAGGTATCGTATGCAAGTGTAAAGGAAATTATCAACTCAATAATATATTCTGATAATGTGATGTCTTTGGATTCATAAATTTGGACAGTGCTAGGAACTGACATAATTTTAAGCTTAACAATGGCAGCAAATAAGAAGTAAATTGATGATTGTAGTATGAAGATGAGAATTACAGGAAGACAAATGATAATTCCACTTTCGACAGGTGGATGCTCTCCTAATATGAGCTTTCAAGAGGCTCACTCTCTCCCAATAACAAACCTCTAACTTATTCCCCAAGTCACTACTAATGGTCTATGACTAACATGCTCTCTTCTTAATATTGATTCCTTGCATACAGCAATCTGCTTGTCTGCTCTGTTTGCTGACTCCCTGATTCCACCTTTCTTCGCTTGATATGAGCCTTGTTATTAGAAGCAGCTCAACTTTAAGAATTATGTGGACTATGAGAATTATGTGGATGTTGTTGTGGTGCGTGTGCGCGTGGGCGTGGGCGTGGGCGTGCGCGTGATTAACCAATTACAAATGTGATTAACCAATTACAAACAACCTAACCTTTACATATATTGATAAATTTCTACCTGTAGGGGCCTTTTATTAACGGGGAGAAGATCTCTTCTGCGGACCTATCTCTCGGACCAAAGCTTTACCATATGGAGATTGCATTGGGAAATTACAAGAATTGGTCTGTTCCAGAGTCACTTCCCTATGTGAAGTCTTACATGAAGGTATCTCTTATCTGTTTACTCTTTCACCTCCTAATGGCATAGAGAATAACTGCAAAAGAATTCTGCTCGTTTATGAGGGGAATGGAAACTGCATATAAGTCAAAACTATTTATTCTTAATTTGTTTTATTTATTTTTTTGGAATATGAGGATTGAATATAGAACATCAGTCAAATTAAAGTGAAGGGTCTTCTTCAACTAGAATAAACTGGTTCAACCACATTCGATCTTCTTAATCTTGCCATTGCCTTCCTTGAAAAAACAAGTTGGAGCCTCCTTGTGCTTTGAAATTTGAACTAATTTTCCGGTTAACAAGCTAATAACTAGTTAACTACTTGTCCCATGTATACTTGTTTATTCTTGAATATTTAGGCTGAAATGAGAATAACTTAAAACACTTTTCTATGATGTGACAAGTGCTGAAACTGCTGACTATCAACTTGTAGAGTCAAAGCTGTTGCAGTGATCCATTTTCTACTATATAACCATCCCTGAATACCCTTGAAATTTTTATTGGAGACCACATAGTCTGTTAAACTTGGACTCGAGGGAACTACACCTTATACAATTAAAAATCTCTACAGGCCCCATCTTTAGTTGTTCATTCCAGGAAGTAATCAGTAGCCAGATCCTGACCATTCCTTTTTCATCCTTCAAAATAGTATATTCCCATATACAGTTGTACTCCTTTTCTTTTCGTTGTACTACTAAGGAAATTTTTATAGTCAATCATAGACTTAGATTCACTAGTAGATGTTGATATCCTTATAATCCTCACTCTTGTCTTTTACCCACTTCTTATTCATCTCTAGTTCATAATTAATATCGAATACGGAGTATCAAATTATTCACTTGCTTTAACTACTCATGCTCTGGATGTGGCCCATGTTGGAGCATTAACTCCGTTCTTGTGGGCTTTTGAGGAGCGAGAGAAATTGTTGGAATTCTATGAAAGAGTCCCAGGATCCATATTAACATCATCAATGATTTAAGTGGAGGAACTAGAAATTGAAGATTGCCACTCCCTTTGTAACATATAGAGCATTCTCTTCTGTGTCTAATTTTTCTATATATTCTTTCAACTTCAGCTCCAACAATTTGACAAGGTTCTAAAAGTCATAGCAGAAAAGCCATAAAGCTTTGACTGAACTAAAGATCTTTGGAAAGTTTTGCCATTGATCATCCATCCTTGAAAATTATGGTTGCAAAGAGAGGTTTTTTTTTTTTTTTCTTTTGTTAAACCATAACTTTCAAGCTTTAACATATTGCCACTTATTGAACACTAGAGATAATAGAATTAAGGGACTTCATCTCATCCTCTTCATCTTGTGGCATTGGCAGGTCTTGCTGACCATAGTTGCAGTATTGATTACCTTTCTTTTTCATCTCCTATTCTCGGTTTTTCTTGCCCCCCTTAATTTGAGGCCTTCCTTGTCCTCCCACTTTAACATACTGATTAACCCCTAAATTGATAATCTGTTTGGTTATCCAAAGGATTCTGCCGCAGCAATAGCTGTGTAAAATAACCCAAACATACATGCACACACAAAAAGGAACCAACACAGTGATAATTAAGAGTACATGAACCATAGTTCTCGCTTGAATTTTGAGGCCTTCCTTGTCCTCCCACTTTAACATACTGATCAATCCCTTAAAAGATAATCTGTTAGCTTATCCAAAGGATTCTGCTGCAGCAATAGATGTGTTAAATAACCAGAACATACAAGCAAACACAAAAAGGAACCAACACAGTGATAATTAAGAGTGCATCTATTGCGAAGAATTCTCGAATTTATCTAATGCCAATTCAAAAATGCAGAAAGTCGAAATGATTTTAAGATATAGCAAAGTTACAGAATAATACTTGATTGAACAAACCTACTACCTTAGAATTATCAATCATAGGTAAAAGGTGCAATCGAAGTGAATTCTGATAGTCTACTACGTGTGTGCAGAATATATTTTCCAGGGATTCATTTGTGAAAACAATTGCATCACCAGCGGATGTCATTGCTGGTTGGGCAAAACACATAAGCTGAAGCTGTCCAAGATTTACGGTCACTGGTTTCTTGTGCAGAAGATGAGAGCCTTGGTGTGAATTGTATTGTCTCCGTAAGCGATTTTGGCAGAGCTTGTAATCGCTTAAATGTAAATTATCTGAAGTATAGTGAAGACTATTTTAACTTCTCTATGAAAAACGTTTTAACTTCTTAGTCTAAATATATATATATATATATTTTTTTTTTTGGTGTTTAGAGAGTCATAGTGGCGGGGGTAAGAATCGATCCCAAGATCTCTTGGAACCGGGAGGGAAGCTCTAACCACTTGAGTTATCCCTCACTCGCTTAGTCTAAATATAATGGATGGGAAGAAATCAATGCTAGATACGAATCCTTGAATTATTTTTTTCCATGTTAAAAATCAGAGTACAAATTTAGGTGGTGCAGGTGAGCTATGGCAACGCAAATGTCCTGCCCGCAGATTCAGTGTTCTCTTGGACTCAATAGGTACAATATTGTAGGTACACTTCTAAGATAACATTACATTGGTCACATGGTTACAAATTTTTTCATAAATCTCTTAAATAATTTAGAGACGGGAGCTCTTTTGGTTTGACCTTTTATTATAATTGTAGGGGGCGTTTGGTTAGTGTATTTTTTGGAGTGGAAACGGATTCAATTAAACCGATACTGTTACCGTGTGTTTGGTTAGAAAGCATGGTAACAATTACCATTACATAAGGGTAATGGTTACCCCTCATTTGTTACCCCTAAAAAACTTAGGGTAACAAATACCCTTACCCTCTTCAATCACAAAATTACTATTTCTCTCCTTTCCATGGTTAAACCAAATAAATGAAAAGGTAATAGTTATTTGATTCCTTTCCCCCCTTTTATTTGTTTCCATTCTACTCCATTTCCATTATCCGAATCAAACGCCCCCGTAGTTGTTACTTGCATTAATGAGAGAAAATATTTCCTCAAAAAAAAAAGAAAAAAAAAGAGAAAATAATAAACAAATATCTTTAGGTTTAGAAGATATCATTGTTCAAACATTATATTCGTAAAATTATCTCAAACTTTTGTAATGATTTAGATTGATTTCTTTATTGATCATTATAATTATCTCAAACTTTTCTATTGATTAGATTTATTTCTTTATTGACCATAATTATCTTTTATGTGCATACATATTTCATGCATATGATAAGTATAAATTGACAAATAAAAAATGATAAATTTAATATATGAATAGTACAAAACATTAACAACTAAAAAGCAACAGACTTAATAAACATATACTATTAAATCTTAATATAAGCAAGTAACAAAAAACAAACCCTAAATAAATTGAAATTATCTATTATATCATAATTTTAATAAGTTTGACTAATTTTTTTTTATATATTATATGATAATTTTAAAAAACAAAAAACCAATAAACAGAAAATCACAACAATATCAAACAAATCCTAAATAAATTGTAATTATTCAATTCTCCATTTATTCATGCTAGCAAAATAGAAGATACGTGTTGGAAATTAAACGAGTATTAATATTAATGTAACCTCAATTTATCACATGGAACTATGGTCTATGGAAGCCTATAGCTTTATACGCATATATGGATTATAGTAGAAGACGTAAGGTTTGGAATGAAATAATGTTTGTTTTGTAGGTTATATAATTATAAATTAATAATGTATGTAATACTTTGCTTAATTGGCTAAAATAGGTCAACACTTGCGTTGTTAAATACTGTTTCATTATTAAGAGATTTAGTTTACTCTAATAATTATAGTGTGTATATCAGGATGACTCTGTTTTATAGTATCTTAGATGAAAATCATACTAATAAATATTATAATTAGAGCAAATTATATTCCCTTAAATATCCTGGCACAATATCTACCAAATAAACATAAGTTTTGGCAAATCTGAATTATTCACATCTATATGAATAACCCAAATATTTACACCTATCATCTATTGGTGTGTCCTTAATTTAATTTGAATTGTTCACACTTGTCATCTACTGGTGTGTCAATTTTGTACAAAAATAATTACCTAATATCTTTTCATCAAAAAAAAACCCTAATCTTATACAATATAATTATTTAAAATAAAAATAATTTGACAGATCTTTAACCCAAATCTAATCTAATATATCATATCACTTCACTAATCATATAAAGCTGGTCTCGCAGCCAGGCCACGAGACAGCAACACTTGGCATTTCATTTTTTTGCCAAGTGTCACGCCATGTAAGGGACAATTATACATAAACATGCCACATAAGATGTTATGTAAGGATTATTAGATATATTTGTTTAGTATAAAAAGTTATCTTTGAGTTTTAATTTCGATAGACTTTTAATCTTTTTTAGTTTTAAATTCCTCTTTTTAAATGATAAAATATATTTAGATAAAATATTGACATCTATCTTGAATATCTAATTAACAATAAAATTTTATTTTTATCAATACATCACATAATTTTAATTAATTTGAGTATCCAATTAAGAAGTATAGAATTTTACACTATACGAATACACCACATAATTATAACTATAAATAAGGTCAAGTATCATTAATTTTTTAGTCTACCATCAAAGCTTATCAATGAAGTATTCTTTATATTCAAATCAGGTAAAAGTTGAATCAAATGAAAGTTGAGAAAGTTAGAGAGAGAAAGTTTTTTTTGCCGCCATTTTTTACATTGAAAGCTTGTGCTTGGGCCATGGCCAACCGTAAAAAAGGGAAGGCAAAGAAGATTTCTGGGTCTAAATCTTCCTCTAAGGCTAAGAAAAAGCAGAGATATAAGCTTAGGTCATGCAAGAAATCGATTGAAGATCAAGAAGTGGTGTCTGATGGAGGGTCGATTGGAAGTTGGTTGAATGATGAAGCTATGGATGAAATTCCCATTAAAGAAGTCTCTGAAGATATCAAAGCTCAGCATCGATTCGATTTTAATCAATGGTTGCAAGTAATTGATTCTACCCCTTTAATGGCGAATGGCTCTATTTCAGGGATACGATCAAATTCCTTTAATCCTTCCCCTTTGATGATGATTGTGGATTCAAATCAGTCGATTCTTGAGAATAATTGTAGAGATAATATTCTTTCCCCAAATTTAAACTTTGAGGGTGTTGCGAGCCCAAAATTGAAAACCCCTAATTGCAGTTCCCCTGTTTTGAACGAAAATCAAGATATTGGGGAAAAATCGTGGGGTGGCCTGTTCAAGAACTTGGTGGATGAGGGGATTAATCTTTCTAATGGGAATAATTGTCATAATCGTTCTAATATATCTTCTAATGGTAATTGTATGCTGCAATTGTCAAAGGAAGATGTTCAACCTGAAATTGAATTCTGCGATTCTGCTATAGTATGCTATGTTCTATGCACTCAACCTCCTTATTCTATGATGAATAGTTTCTTGAGAAGGATTTGGGGGAAGTATGGTATTGATAAGGTTGCTTCATGTGATAATGGTGTGTTGTTAGTTCGGTTTAGAACACGTGAAGCTAGAGAGCAAGCTCTAGCAGAAGGGCCCATCTTGTTTGACAGGAAGCCTATGATTGTTAAGAAATGGCAGCCTGATCTGAATATTAGAGAGGAGAGGGTCTCCGATATTCCTGTTTGGGTAAGGCTTCCCAATCTGGATTTGAAGTTTTGGGGAAAAGAGGCTTTAATGAAGATTGCAAGTTTAATTGGTAAGGGTAATCAAGACTGATAAGGTTACATCCACTAAGGAGAGAATTACTTATGCTTGGATAATGGTGGAAGTGGCTGTTAATGGGAATTTACCTGAGTACATTGAATTTCTGGATGAGGAGGGGAACAAGATTAAGCAAGTTTTTCATTTTGAATGGAAGCCAGTAAGCTGTCATATGTGTAAGGGTATGGGGCATGTGGAGCAGGATTGTCCTAACCATTTTGTCAAAGTTAGGAAAACTCAGGAAATGAGACAAGCTCAACATAAGAGGCAGAAAATGTGGAGGCCTGTGCACAAACCTATGCAAAGGTCTATGCACAAATCTAAGCAAAATCCTATGCAGGGAACTGGACAGGATACTAGGCAGGGGGATGTACAGGAAGCCAGGCCAGAAAATGTGCAAAAAACAGGTACAATGCAGAAGGTTGTAAGACAAGATAATGCTGTGAAGATAAGTAATAGATTCACAAGAATACAAGACATGGATCAAGATCATGTTAGTGATGTTCCTATGTTTCTAAAGAGGCGGGTGCTGGATTCAGGAAAGAGAATGGATATGACAGGTGGGAAGGTGGTGATGGGGGTGTGGGAGAGGGGTGAATGTTCTCATAATGTTGATGGATAAGTGGGGTTTTTGGAATGTGAGGGGACTAAACCAATCTAGCAAAATTTGTGATGTTCTTTGGTTTTTAAAACATCATAATATTGGTTTGTTTGGTCTCCTTGAGACAAAAGTGAAGGGTAAGAAGTTTGGGAAAATTTTTGGAAATTTTAAGAACCATTGGTCTGTCTTAACAAATTATAGTAAGGTGGATGGAGGCAGGATTTGGGTTGTTTGGCAGCCTACTGCATATATATGGTTCAGGGGGTGAGGAGTGAAAGACAATGTATCCAAGCTTATGTTACACATAAAGCCTCTGGGGTCTCATTTTGGTGTACTATGGTGTATAGGGTTAATCTGGCTACTGGAAGAGAGGAGTTATGGAGGTAGTTGATGGAGTTAAGTCACACAGTCACTGGCCCTTGGGTGGTATGTGGTGATTTTAACAATATCTTGAACATGAAGGATAGGGTGGGATCTCCTTGTTGCTTGAATGAAGTGGAAAATTTTAGAGAATGCTTGAAGTATTGTGACTTAATAGACTTTAAAACTGGTGGTTCATTTTTTACTTACACTAATAAGCAGCAGGGTAGTGATAGGGTTTGTACTAAGATTGATAGAATGTTGGTGAATGAGAATTGGTATGAGACCTTTCAGAATACTAGTGCTATGTTTCTTCCTGAAGATCTTATGGATCACTGCCCATGTCTGGTTTCCTTATTTGAGAATGCTGCAGCTGCTAAGAAACCTTTTAGATTCTTCAATATGTGGACTGAGTTCCCAGGATATTAGGATATAGTTTCCCAGGCTTGGACCACTACTGTGCATGGAACAGATATGTTTGTATTAGTAAAGAAACTTCAAGCTGTTAAAGGATGCCTTAAAAATTTGAATCTGTCTCAGTTTTCAGATGTTGAAACAGCTGATGCTGTGGCTGCTGGAGAGCTGCTGAAATGTCAGGAGAGGCTGAGTAGAGACCCTCAAAATGAGGATCTCATTTAAGCTGAGCATTTGGCCAGGGGAAGGTATGCTGATGCTCATAAATCTAAGTTTCAGTTTCTAAAACAGAAAGCTAAGCTTCATTGGCTTAGGGATGGGGATGTAAACTCAGCCTACTTTCATGCATGTTTGAGAAATAGAAGAGTTCATAACAGGATTGCAAGTATAGTGGCTCCAAATGGAGAAGTAACCCAAAACCCCTCTATGATAGCTGATGCCTTTATTAAATATTACATAGATCTCCTGGGTACCTTCTATGTGCCTCAAAAGAAGGTTCACCCTGTGGTTGTAATGGAGGGACCTGTTCTCAATGATGATCAGAAAATGATTCTCTGTAGACAGTAGGATGTCAAGAGTGCTTTGTGGAGCATAGATGAGGACAAGGCACTAGGTCTTGATGGTTTTTTCGAGCAGATTCTTTAAATCTTCATGGAACATAGTGAAGGCTGATCTGTGCAAGGCAGTGCTTGGGTTCTTTGAACATGGCAAACTTCTGAAATAGGTTTGCACTACCACCCTCACCTTGATCCCAAAAGACTGATAATGCTTCCTTGGTTTCTCAGTTTAGGCCCATTGCTTGTTGTAATGTGGTGTATAAAATAATCTCTAAAATGATTTGCTCAAGATTGAAGGAGGTTCTGCCTGTTATCATTGATGATTGTCAGGGGGCTTTTGTGGTTGGTAGGTCAATAATGGATAATATCTTGATTTGTCAAGATATGCTTAAAGACTACAATAATAAGAGGAAATCTCCTAGGTGTACTATAAAAGTCGATTTGAGGAAGGCTTATGACTCAGTGCATTGGGATTTCATAAGGGATATGCTAGAGTCTCTTGGTTTTCCTGATAAGTTCATTCACTGGATCATGGTCTGTGTTTCTTCTCCTTCTTATTCCTTGTTATTAAATGGTGGGCTCCATGGCTTCTTTCAAGGTAAAAGGGGGGGTTAGACAAGGGGATCCTATGTCCCCGTTGCTGTTTGTGATAGTTATGGAATACCTCACACGATTGCTTAAGAAGGTGGGTAAACTTAGGGGTTTTAAGTTCCATTATAGGTGCAAAGGTCTTCAGCTCAATCATCTGATTTTTGCAGATGATTTAATGTTGTTTGCTCATGGAGATAGGCAGTCTGTGAACTTGATTTTCAAAGCTCTGATCAAGTTTGAGAAGGTGTCTGGTTTGCAAGAAAATGCTGAGAAAACATCAATTTATTTTGGGAATGTGGATGATAGAACAAAACTGAGCATTATGAGACTCACTGGTTTTGTTGAGGGTTCTGGACCTTTCAGGTATCTGGGTATCCCTCTTAATTCAAGATATCTGAGAGTGTCTGACTTTGATGTGCTGATTGATAAAATGTTACACAGGCTTTTGTGTCGGTCAAGTCGAAATTTGTCTTATGCGGCAAGAGTTGTTCTTATTAATGCAGTTCTAATAAGCTTGCACTCTTACTGGGCTCAATGTTTAATTTTACCTAAGACTGTCATACAAAGAATCAGAGCTTTCTTATGCAGCGGTTCAGCTGTCTTATCTAAAGCCCCTCCTCTGGCTTGGTCTTGGGTTTGTAAGGCTAAGAAAGTTGGGGGTTTGGGCATAAGAGACTGTGAATTGTGGAATAAAGCAGCTCTTGGTAAGTACATATGGCAGATTTCTAAGAAAAAGGACTCTTTATGGGTCAAATGGGTTCACAATGTCTATATTAAGACTCAGGATTGGTGGACTTATAGTTCAAAGAAGGCTGATGGGTGGGCTTGGAAGAAGATTTGTAGGATTAAGGATGAGCTGGAAGAGGGATTCAGGGCTGAAAACTGGACTGAGAAGAAGTATTCCATAGCTACTGTCTATGATTGGCTACAGGGCAAGGCTGAGAAGGTAGATTAGACAGATTGGGTGTGGAATAGATACAATATTCCCAAGACTTCCTTCATAACTTGGCTGGCAGTGCTTAATAAGCTTAGAACTAGAGAAATTCTTTTCAAGCATGGTATTAGCAATACTGATTTGTGCTTACTGTGTGGAAATGGTATTGAAAGTCAACAGCATTTATTTTTTGACTGTGCCTATAGCAGACGATGCCTGTTAAGGATTAGTAGGTGGCTTGGAGTCCAGGAAATTCACTTCAATATCATAAGTACCTGGAAACATTGGAAAAGGATTCTCAAAGACTCAATAGTGAGAAAGATTGGGTATGCCAGCCTTGCTGCACTGGTTTATTACCTGTGGGCTGCTAGGAATAGTGTATACTGGAATCAAGCTGTTCCAATCCCTGACATTCTTTGTGATAGTGTTTGCTCAGCAGTGGTAGGACGTGCTCACCAGCTTATAAACAGAAAGTGGAAAAAGCATCATTGTAAATGGCTGAAAGCCTTGAGAGACAGTATAACCTCATAAGTTGTACTATTTGTGTTTGAATGTGGTCTAGTGTTGTCTGTTTTTTGTACTTTGTCTTGTTATGTTGGGTGTTTTAGCTGTTGTTGTCCTGGTCCTAGTGATGAGTTCCTTTCCTAGAAGGTGCCTTGTCACTTGAGGCTAGTGAGTGTTGTTTTCTTCTCCCCTTTGCTGGTCTGGTACCCTTCCTAGAAGGCGAACAGTTCAGGTTAGGGGATGTGGGGGATTGTGTGCCCTTGGGGCTTGTGTAGTTTGGAGGTTACAAGCTTCTTGTATTTGCTTTTGAGGGTTAGCCCTCTTTCTTTGGTATTAATAGTACTTCTTATTACCAAAAAAAAAAAAAAAAAAAAAAGAAGTATTTTTTATATTCAGTTTTGATAATTTTGTGTACGTTTATGATTTTGTTTTCGGTTTCATTAATTTTGTTTATGCCTTGAATCCTTAATGTATTTAACCGCGGCTTATTCGTTTATTGTACTTATAAATTAAATATTGTACGTTACCTGAATAGATAGTGTATTTTTGTGTACTTGTCCTTTCCTTTTACAGATGTCCAAGTATTTCTCAATTCATATCCAATTTTTCAAGATAATTCAATACTAATAGCATAGATATGATACCAAAAAACAATGGAATGCATTGACACGAAGAAATAATATTAGGCATCTCATCATAAAATCGAAATCTAAATCAAAATTATAGTTATCCCGTCAATCCTAAAATTATACCCTGCCTTAGCTCCTCCATGTTTTCGGTTTCGATATAATCTAGACTAGATAATTATTTTCATTTTTAATCATATTATTATTGTTTTTTACAACTTATTTGAAGAAGAATGGATGCAATAAACTGTAAAAGGTACTACTTATATTAGTACTACAATTAGTTTCTTTTTTGCATTTTTTTTTTAATGTTAACTCAAATTTCTCAAAAACTTTTGTAAAAAAAAACAATAAAAAATCAGGAATTAAGTGATTTATAATATTTTAACCTAGCAATTCAGAGGCATAGAACATCACATGAACAAGAATATATCATTTGAACAAGGATTTAGAAATTAATAACGAGAGACGACAAGACTAGATTTTGAAAGTGAGGATCACTCGATTGTGGAAAAAATTAAGCCCAAAGAGGAACAGTGGTCGAAGTACGTCAAGCTAATAGTGCCAAAAGTGTAAATGTAACATTTAAATAATACAGGCAATAGTAATATATTTAAAAGTAACAAAAGTTAAAAATAGTATATACTAGTATATATATGAAGGGGAGTTTTTTTTCCGAGTTTTTAGAGATCCAAGTAGGATAAAAATTTCTTAACGTGCCACATAGGATTATAAATTTTAGTTATAGCCAATTACATGAGAGATTTGTAATTTCTTTTAGAATTAATTAAATAATTCAAATGCCACATAAGCAAAATTGGCGAATGAGATTTTAAAGTTTAATTTAATTAAATATAAATTATAGCCATGCTTGGTTTATAAATTATTATTGATAATTGATATATAGAAGTTTCTAGAGGAATATAAGATAATAGTCAATTATAATAATTAATAATAAATAAATATAATGAATTTCCTAGGTAAATTAATGTTTCTACACCAAAAAAAAAAAAAAACAAAACAACGGAGTTTTGGAGGGCAAATTCCCTCCAAAAAAATAAAAAAAAAACTCCATTTTAATATTGAGTAATATATTTTTGTAATTAAAATGATAAAAAGATATGCTTCCTACATATTATGGTACTTATTTCTATATATTATTACTTTTCATTATTTACAACTTAGAATTACTAAATTTTTGTAAGATTCCTTCGAAGTTTCTAACCATCAAACTTCAAACATTCCCACTAAAACTGTCTCATTAACACTTAAATATTGCAAAGACTTGATAGTGATGATACATTGGCTAATGGACTGTATAAATCCAACCTAAATTTTACTTAACGCGTTTTGATATTGACTAGACTTAATTCTCTACAACATGTGATAAATTTCTCTACAACATAAAATATATTCCATCAACAAAATATATTTTCTAATGATTGCATCTCTATGTATCCATACTCTTGTATGGATACATTATGTGACTTAGAGGAATTTTAAAATTGCACATGTATAAGTCAAAGATAGATGGAAATATATCGTTTCATATGCAATTACTAAGTATAACATAAATAAATTACGAGGATAATAAGTTCAATAAACTAGGTAATCATGAATGTGTTATTAAATCAATTATGATATGAGGATCAACAAAATTTAGAGTATCACTTGGATCCTATCAGCCTATCGGGTCACACAATAAACTACGGATTGAAGCGAATATACCAAACCTATGATGGGCTTAGTGGACGATTAAAAGGGAGTAAACTAAGGAGTTACTTTTACCCTAAGTAGATAATGAAGATTATTTATTTGGGAAAATTGAGAGAGATTTTGTTAGATTATCTATTGTCAAACCGACCCAATATGATGGACATTGGACATAAAGATCAGGTATAAAGTTGGGGCCGGTCCAAAATAAAATATTACTCAGTATTATTTTGAACAGACCATAGACCAGCTTTTTAAACAATTTTAATTATGTTTTTGACTCAGCCCGAAAAGCTTGCTAAGACTGATTTCTGTAACGAGTTTTGGGCAAGTATTTTTTGGCTAAAAACTTGGCCCGACCTGACTTAAAGGGCTAATTTATTAGCCTTTGACCCAGCCCAAACACTCATGATCATCTCCATTTTTTTTGGGAATGTTAAAAAGGAAAGTTTATTAATTGTAGCTATTTAAAATTTATTTTTTGCAAATTGCAGTAATTTTTTAAAAAATTGCAAATTACAGTCTAAAAAACTAATCAATAATAACTTAATACTAAAATTGACACCGGAAGTGACACGTGTCACATCTGGTGCTGTTTTTTCCCTCCAAAATCCCCTTCCATTTTAGCATTTTTTATTTATTTTTGGAATACTTGTATAATAATACAACTATAATAATAATAATAATATTATTCATAATCTTATATACTACTTTTATGAATATATTTTGTTTATCAAGGAGATAAACTTGTATTTTCTCAAATAATAATCCCACCTTTCAGTTATTTTTTAATAATCCGAACTTTAATGCCAATTCGCCGCTTTAAATGGTCCCAACCAATCATTTAACTTGTTATACCAAGTTACATGATACGTGTCGACGTCTAATTGGTCAATAAAATTAAAAAAATTGATTTTTCTTAAAGAAAAAATAAAAAATTATTACTTAATTAATTAAAAAAAAACCCCGCCAGCTAACCACCCTCCACGACGGCCCACATCCACCAGCCCGACCCCCTGCCTGCCCCTAGCGCTGGAGCGTCACGCAGACTACCCTCCCCCTGAAACCGCCGACTCCCCTCCCCTCCCCCTGAATCACCAACCACCCTCGAAAAACCCTTTCCTCGTCCCGATCCTAAGCTCCTTCCCCTTCTCCCGGCACGTTTCCGGCCCCTCCCCTTCCCATTTTCTTTTTCCAGCCCCTTCCCCTTCCACACGCCCCGATTTTTCCCCCATCCTCTTCTCGCGCCTCGAATTCGGCCCTCCTCCCCTTCTCATGCCTTGATTTCGGTAATGGTTGTGGTGGTTTAGGGGCAACGGAAGGGCGTAGGGGAGTGCCGACGAATGGCGCGGGGAAGCTAAGGTCTGGTCGCGACAAGGCTGGCGGCTTTGGGCCGGGTCTGGGCTGATGGTGGGGGCGGGGAGGTGGCTGGGGCTGATGGTGGTAGTTTTTTTTTTTTTTTTTTTTTTTAATAAAAAAAGTTAGCTTTAAAATAGTTTATTAATGTTAATTAGTAATAATTATTTTTTTAAAAAATTAAAACTTTTTTTTTACCAATCACGTGGTGTCACATGTAAATTGAACTTAATAAAAAAATTACACAGTTTTTCCAAAAAAAAAATAAAATTGGAAAAGAAACTTAAGCTACTCCCTCTGTCCCATAGTATAGTTTCTATTTGTGTTTTTTCACAATATTTAAGAAATGGGAGGAGAAAGTGAATAAAGTACATTAAAAAATGTAAAATAGTACAATTATAGACAAAAGTTAGAGAGGAGAAAGTGAATGAAGTACATAAAAACGAGGTGAAAAGTACAATTATAGACAAAAATTAGAGAGAGAAAGTGAATGAAGTACATAAAAAAGAGGTGAAAAGTACAATTATAGACAAAAATTAGAGAGAGAAAGTGAATGAAGTACATAAAAAAGAGGTGAAAAGTACAATTATAAGTAGGGGTGTACACCGGTCCAAAACCGGACCGGACCTGGACCGGACCTGTTTGGACCGGGGACCTGAATTGGGTAATTATGAGGACCGGGGACCGGACCTGAATTAACAGGTCCGGTTCCGGGCCAGACCTGAAAAATCAGGTCCGGTCCGGGTTTGGACCTGAATGGACCTGTTTTGTGTCTTTTTCGTTTTTTTTTTAATACAAAACCTGTTGGACCTGCATATGGACCTGCATATGGACCTGTTTTGTGATTTTTAGACCTGTTGCATAATTTAATAATTACATACAAACCAAAATTATCAATTACAAAACTACATAAAGTCTATAAAGTCCCGATTCTCAAACACCAAAAATACAAATGAGTCCACCGAAAATACAAATAAGTCCACGAAAACACAGTTTCAATTTTTCAGAGTTTGGTTTTCTTCTTCTTTTTTTTTTTTTTTTTTTTAATTACGATTTTCCCGGGTTTCAGGTCCGGACCTGAAAACCCCGGGTTTGGACCGGGAACCTGGATTTTTAAGAACCGGGACCGGACCTGAATCAACAGGTCCGGGTCAGGTCCGGTCCGATTCAGGTCCGGTTTCAGGTCCGGGCCAATTTTTGTACACCCCTAATTATAAGACAAAAGTTAGAGAGAGAAAGTGGAAAAAGATACAAAACAAGTGGAAAATTCAAGGGTAATTTAGAAAGTACAATGAAAAAAATTAGAAAAAATGAGGGTATTATGCTCTTTATATATAATTGAAAAAATAAAAATAGGAACAATATTTTAGATCTCGAAAAACAAGAACAATTTTTTAAATCTCTAAAATAGGAAAATAGTAACTATAATACGGGACGGAGGGAGTAGGATGAAATAATTAAGACCCATTTCTCTACCTCACCTCATTTCAAAAGTCTTGCCATCACCGCACTCTGCTGGTGAAGCTCTTAGAGGAGCACAACGATGGCGTTACTTGCCAACCCTTTAATCCTCTCTTCTTGCTCCATTCGCAAATTCAATCCTCTTATCCTCTCTCAACGTCGCTTCTTAATCAATGTCTCCTCTCGTTTATCCTATTTCAGAACTCGGCTTTTCTCCGGTAATTCTTTATTGTGGAAGAAATTCCCACTTTTAATTTCGTATGTTTTCTTCTCTATAATTATCTTTCATAGATGCTGTTTTGGTTGCAGTTTCGGCTTCGAAAAATGACGTGTTTACATCGCCGGAGGTGGCGAAATCATTTGATTTTGATTGGGAGGAGCGCATTTACAATTGGTGTGTTCTTGACATTAATTAACTAGTAATGCTATGAAGTTGTTTAAATTATCTTGTGAATTAATGTGTTTTAATACGACTTTTTGCATTGCATTTTCTCTTTGTTATCTTACTTATCTGCAAACAGCAAATTTATAGCTGATATTCTTGAACAATTATTTTTTCAGTTTCATTGAATTTCTGGTATTTCATGTGTCAAAAATCAAAACCATGCATTTATTTGACTGTTAGGATCACTAACTTAATATTAATATGAAGTGAGGAGCTTATTTATTATTTATTTAACTTTTTTAATTTTGGGAGTTGGGCTAAATTATCTTATAGCTTGGCATGCCACATCAATTTGTTATGCTACTTGTCAATTGGTTTTCATTCAAATCATATATACCAAGCTAGCAAGATGTGCTATAATTGTGGAGCTACTAGCTTAAGAAATTTTAATATTTGCAAGCAAGTCCCTTTCTAAAGTCATAAAAATGTAGTAGTAGATGAGAAGAGGGAATGGGGGGTGAGATACTGTTTGATTGGATTTGTATATTAGAAAGAAATTTTAACTTTGAGAAGAAAAACAAAATAGCTCTTGCTCTTAGTTTATGTTGCCTAGACTCTTCATTCTATTCACGTTAGATCATGGACGCTTTTGGACATGGGTAGGATACTCCGACCTTTATTTTTGACCATTATCATGGAATTTTTTCACAAAATAGCTGCGTTGGACACTTGGATAGATTATGCAAGCAACATAGCTTACCATTGTGCATATTTCTCTTTCACTTTTAAGCTTGCGTGAAAACTATGTTTGGATAGATATTGTATATTTGTATAGTGTAGAAGGAAAAAGAAGGAGTTGATTTTAAGGTGAGGAGAATGGATCCCCCCAATTCTTTTCACTTCCCTTCCCTCATATTTTATCTAAATACGGGGAAGATGTATCATTCACTTTCTTTCCTTCTCGTTCCCTTCATATATTCCAATCCAAACTTAGTGTAGCCTTTTTTGAGTTGGAAGTAGCATCCCCCCTCCCTTGTTTTTCAAATTATTTTTAAATGCCTATATGAATTATTTGCTAATGTTTTTCGCTGAATAACCTATCTTACATGGGTCTCTCTTCAACTTAAGCTATTTAATTCCACATTTGGGTCCTCTCTCTCTCTCTCTCTCTCTCTCTCTTATCATGTCCTTTTCATGTTGAAGGCAATTTATGGCATCTTAAAGTGGAAGTGGCTGCTTTCAGGTGGGATTCTCAAGGTTACTTCAAACCAAATATGGATCAAGGAGGTGAACCTTTTGTTATTTCAATGCCACCACCAAATGTAACAGGATCATTACATATGGGGCATGCAATGTTCGTAACTCTTGAGGTTAATTTCTTATTACATCTTAATCGTTTTATGTGTTTCATGGAGGGAAAACTTGTTCTTGCATGTGTACTATGTGATTTGCTAATGCAGTGGAACTTACTTGTTCTTGCATTTGTAATTTGGCATCTTTCCTTAGAAATTATCAAGTGTTGCTGAATTATTGGGATTCCACCTATTTTTTTAATCATTTACAACCTAATAGGTCCATTATGTGACTTTTGGGAGGTGCATGGGCCATAATACTCCGCATATTAGCTATTTTGCTTATCATTAGAGAGTAATAATATGATACATTGGGATTAAATGTCTAATTGAGCTTTCTTATCGGAGTGGACGATGTTTTTAGCTTTTATATAGCTTATTGAGCTCATGGCCATGAGGTCTCCGTGCCTTATTCATATGTAACATATGATTAATTCCTCTCTCTTTCCTTTATTCTTATTACTTGATTTTGGTGGACCAGCTATGCCCCTTGTATTTCCTCTCCCCTTCTCTCTTTCTCTTCATATGTTGCTTTGATGGAAATTTTCTTAATGAAAAAATGATGAGTGAAAGTCGAGTTTTGTATATCTTTTAGAAATTGTTTGAATGTGTCAATAATGAAAATATAGGGAAAAAACTTATTTGGGAGGCATGAAAGTACATACCAAAAAAAAATAATGTAAAACTTTAAACACAAAACTTGGGCTTAGCTGAAAGTATATTTCATCTCTCTTTTTCCAAATATTATTTAATTTAATTTTAAATTATTTAAATTTTTATAAATATTAAAGGTATGAGAACCCCCTTAAATTCTTTACTTGTTCAATTACCTATAGCTCTACAACCACCATGTTATAAATGAATGTACTCTCCACTTTCACCGACGGAAAAGTAAAAAAAAAAAAAGGGGTCTTGTTAGTTGCATCTCATAAGCCCAATTTTGGATTGCCCCAAAGTTGTGTAATCCCATAAGTGGGGTCAGCAACATGAACCAACATGAGGACTTTCTAGGAGGTTACCCAGCCTAGTACTACTCTCTATCATTGTGGATAAGAGAGAAGATGTAAAGAGGGGGGAAGGTTATACGATAAAGTAGGAGAGAAAATGTAAAAGGTGGGTGGGTGTAAGATGAAATAAGAGAGAGAGAGTGTGAAAGATAAATTAAAGTGAGTAGAACCCAACAACAACAACAACAATAAAGCCTTAGTCCCAAAAATGATTTGTGGCCGGCTAACCTGAATCGTCATAAGGAACCATTTGAAAAGGAACTAGAGCATAGCAAGATAATCAATTGAATAAAAGTTTAAAGGTGTGTAAAGTGAGAAACATAAAAAGTATACAAATAAAATTTAAGAGAGTTTTAAAAGAGTGGTACTAGTTTCCATTTGAATTGGAATCTTATCATAAAAGAATTAAGTGAGTATATAAGATGATTATATATATATATATTTTAATGTATATTTCACTATAAACTTTTCATAATTTTTACTAATAGATTATTAGAGATGTTAATGGTTAAAATTGTGCATTGACAACTAATTTGTTGTTGTAGTTGTGTTCTTATTCTATGTGCCCAAAAGCATCACAGAAATAAAATGATTTATTTTATGGGATTAAATTGAAATTAGTCACTTTAATGATTTTTGGGAGCTTGTCTCTCCTCTATTTCATTGTTTTATCTAGGTCAGTAAAGGTATATAACTATACGTGAGCAGGGGTTTAGAATAAATCAACAAAGTTAAGTGAAGATTTTTGTAGTTAAGGATATTTTGGACTTGATATGTAATGGTTTTGGGATTATAATTTAATTTCATTTTTCTTAGATCACTTTTATTTTATATTTTATGGTTTATTTACAAAAGCTGCTTTGAATTTGTTATCGTAAGACTTTAAGTGCATCGATAGCACTCCCAAGGTTTGAATGGTGTTTATTAACCTAAATATGGCTTCTATATATAAAAAAAAGGGCTTTGTGGGGGCATTACAATTAGCTTGTCTTAGAAGGAGAAAGTATTAATAAAAAAGGGTTCAACTTTAGAAATTGTTGTCCTAGACAATGCCATTTGGAACAGAAAAAATGCATGATAAAGTGTTATCATTTGAGATTAGATGACTTTATGGGCTTTTCCTCTGTAGGGTGTATGTTTATGCAGCTTATGCTTGCTTGGCACTTGGAAGTAGTGTCCCTTTATGTGACATCTTGAATATTATCATCATTTTTATCTTATGTGATGCTTTGCTTATCCATGTAAAGTGAAGAGGTGGTAGTGGATAAATGTTCATCTTTTTCTACAATATAGCTGCCTGCTTGATGTTTCAGCTGGGAGGTTTCTTGGAGATTCTAAAGTCTAATGCTTTTGGTGGTCTATTCTAGGATATTATGGTTAGATATCACCGCATGAAGGGAAGACCTACAGTGTGGATTCCTGGTACTGATCATGCAGGCATCGCTACTCAGGTTTGGTTCTGGATCTGTTCCTGGTAAACATAGTGTGATAACCCCTAAAGAAACATGTTGCACATATGGGGAGTTGATAGAGTTTAGTTATCTTCACCGCTTCCAAATTTTTTTCTGTTTGGACTAAATTGCAGCTGGCTAATTATGTGAGTGTTTCTTGAAATAACTCATGTTGACTTTCTGAAGTTCACTTTTGCACCCCCTGGTCTCCTTTTTTTCCTCCATTGAACATGATACTAATTGACTTGCTTACATGGCCTCTGCAAATTATCAATCAGTACTTTCATCTTCATCCATAATTTATATCATCACTGTAAGACCTCCCAGCACCCAGGGCTGCACCTTTATTTTCCGTTACTATTTAATAAAATCTTATTTTGTCATCATGAAAATGACTAGTATGGCTTTTCCTTCTGTTTTCTAACTTAATATACTTGGCATTCCATTGCTGCGAAGTTGGCTTTACAATATAATTACAAATGGCCTAATAGCAACTTATATGAACTTAACTATGTTGAATTCAATTACCCTTTTTTTCTTAGTGATTGTATGACCTGGATGCTTGGTAGTAGTTGTGCCATTGGTTTGGGAAGGGGGATTGTTTTTAACAGCATGTAAGCACTTCTTCCTAATTACATTATGGCTAGAAATTTGCGTGGAGCTTAATGGAACAAAGATTTGATGACAGTGGCATTATTATTGCGTGTAAACAATGGAAGTTATAATTATTTTTTAAAAAAGAGGCTTTTTATTATAAATTTTATTTATTTATTTATTGTTTTTTTTTAATTTGCACTGTTCGTTCCTCTTTGTCAAACTTTGTGGACTTTTGCCATATTTTTCTACTAATATATACCAAGAGAAAAAAAAAGGATCTCATTAGATTTGTCATAGTGTGTATATACATACAAATTATCAACTTTTTATTATTTGTAATATACAAATCGAAAATTATTTTTGGTCAAAGGTATGCATTGGACGTTAGGAAAAATTGTGGTGCTAATGAAAATAAAAAATCATTAACAAACAAACAAATACCATAAGTGACATGCAATTTCTACAATGAGTGGCGTTCATTAGAGCTGGTAATTGATCAATAGGAAATACTGTCACTGAAAGTTGACGTAGGTGCTGCTAATCAATACTTCTTAGGGACACATTAAGAGTAAATATTGAAGGGAAAGGAGTAAGCTGTGAATCACAAGTTGAGAGGTATAGGTCGTTAACAATTTGTGGTCTTGCAAGTGTTAGCATTCTAAAAACTATATGTATGGAAACTGTAAATTGAAAAAAATCTGTATTTTTGAAGCGTCTTATAAACAATAATTGAAGAAACGTTGGCAACACTCACTTTATTTTTTTTTTTTTTTTGGTTTTTTCTAAGTTTCTGATCATTGGCACAATACACATCTGTTGACTCCAACAAGAAATAAGCTTAATAATTACGATTTTTTGACTTTTACCACAAAAAAAAAACATGAAATTATTTTTTACCACCAAACTTCTATAACTTTTATTTTACCACAAAAAAATTCTATAAATTGTTTTTTTACCACCTACCGTCAAGAAAAACCGTTAAATCTAACATTTATAAAAAAAAATTCTTCGATTTTCGTGCGCAAAACATATTTTTTTTATAGGTTTAGGGGGGCATTTTAGCCCCATAGATCCAATTTGAGGTCAGAATTGACAAAAAATAATCGGAAATGCCTCGTTCTTCCTACTAAAAAATACTTTGATTTGCGTGAAACACACAAAACGAGGCATTTCTGATCATTTTTAGTCAATTCTGACCTCAAATTGGATTCGTAGGGCTAAAATGCCCCCTAAACCCCCTAAAGATCATGTCTTTGGCACGAAAATCGAAAAACTTGAAAATTCCGTTAGGTTTACCGGTTTTTTTGACGGCACGTGGTAAAAAACAATTTTTAATTTTTTTTTTTTTGTGTTAAAAGAAAAGTTTTAGAACTTTTGGTGGTAAAAAACAATTTTGTGATTTTTTTTGGTGGTAAAAGTAAAAAAAACCTAATAATTATTCCAAAAGTAACTATAAAAGGAATAATAAGTCTCTGTATGAACTAGGTATGATTGAGCTGAACACATTCGATAACTTTAATGTCTAATTGAATTGGGTTGAACATATTTTCGAGCTAAACTTAATCTCAAGCTTAAATTGGACTTCAACTAGATAAAATAAGTTTGAACAAGAACAAGAACAGAATAGTACTCGGTTGAAATTGGTTCATATAAATCCCTATGCCCTAGTGATATATCATACACTCCCTTCATCCCTATTTCTTTTTGGAATATCCCTTGAAGATCACCCTGTTTCCTTATATAGTAACATATCTTCACCATTCAACCCCACTTGCATACACTCATAGAAGTGAAAAAAAAAAATAATACCCCATCCACTTGCAATTTTTTTGTTTAATCTTAAAGCACATTTTGCTTATGGGGCAAACAAATAAGGACAAATTGAATATGGATATCTTTTGGGCTGAAAGGCTTTTCTAAAATGTAATGGGTTGTGGCTACATGGCAAGTTTGACTAGAATCAACTAGTTTGGGAAAGAAACTGTATCTTTATTTATTTATTTTTTATTGTAGAGTAACTTTTTCAGAAATCGCGGTTTATCTTTTAACATTTTTATTTCTTATTTGCCTCTTGTTTAAATTCAAAAACAGCTGTTCTTATAAACCGATGATGCTGTGTTTCTTTTCTTGTAGTTGGTTGTTGAAAGAATGCTTGCTTCAGAGGGAATAAAGAGAGCTGATTTAGACAGAGATGAGTTTGTAAATCATGTTTGGAAGTGGAAGGAGAAGTAAGTTTGATTCTTGAGTTTATTGACAATTACACTTAGTCATTCTTGATTCGAAAGTAATTCTTCTGAAATTATGACAATTATAAAATTTCTATAGACCACGTTAAAAAAGGGATTGGGTGTTATAGAAATAAGGTTGTCATTGATGAAATCTTTTCTTATTTAGTTTCATTGATATAATAGATGAAAGTGATGATGAACCTCAATCAATAGAATGATGTTAACTTAGAGATGATTGGGAAAGTTTGAAAGAAGTTATACAAGCCGATTTTGATTCGTCGAATAAAAGAGGTGTATTTAGACCTATAACTTTTACACCATAAGGTGCTGCACTCGGTTACAAGTAGATTTTTTTTTTGTGTAAAAGCAATGAGCATAATGTGGTTGTGAGATACGGGACAAGATTGGTAGCATAGGAGTTTTACAAAGGCCATGAGTCGATTATACTATAACCTATTCACTTGTTGTGGTCTTGTGGATGATATTACTCTTACGACCTAATTGGTAGGTGGCTATAAATGATGGTAATGAGAATGAATTTGCATTTAAATTTTTAAGGAAATTCAAGTTTTATTCCCGTGGTAAGGCTAGCTCACCCTAAATTAACCATTTTTCCTTAGAAATTTCCTCCCCATTTAATAACTCCTTCCAAGTGTTAATGGAAAAACTTAAAGAAGTGAGGATAAAATTGCATAACCATGGGGATTACAATGTTAATTTCCTTCCTAATTTACACTACTAAACGGGCTGTAGGTTTCTAATGAGCTTAACATCTATTGAATGACATCATTGCACCTTATGAATGTGGGCACTGCATACCTATATGAGTCATAAGACAAATATATATCTGTAAGGATTGAAAATGCAAGTAGTTTTTAAATGTAAGCTCCTGGTATGTACTTCATAAAGCTAAAGGTCCTTGTATGGCCTTAAACAATATGGAGGAATGTGGTATAATTGTCTTAGTGAGAACTTATTAAAGATAGGATATGTGAATGTACCTATTAAGCCCTAGGTGTTCAAAAAGAGGATTGAATCATATTTTGTTATAATAGTTGTTTATGATCTTGGAAAGAGATTCCCAAAGTATTTGAGAAAGGAATTTAAAGTGAAGGACTCAAATGCACTTGGTATTTTTTCGGCCTACAATTTGCAATTTAAAGTGGAATTTTCATTCATAAATCAAATAACTTGAGGAGCTTCTAAAGTGCTTTTATATGGATAAAGTACACCTATTAAGTACACCCATGGTAGTTCGATCACTTAGGAGAAAGATCCTTTTTGTCCTCCAAATGAAAGGCAAGACATTGGTTCCCAAAACCCCATATTTTGAGGCCGAATATAGCTTTTGTAGTAAATTATTAGCAAGATATAGTTCAACGAAGACACTGGTATGGTGATAAGTTACGTTATCTATGTGGGACTAGTGATATGAGACTGTTTTATAAAAAAACACTAGGATCTAAGTAGTGTCCAATTGATTGAATATGCAGATGCTTGCTATTTATTTGATTTACACAAATCAATATCGTAAACAATGTAGTTATTCATGTACGGTAGAATTGCCATTCCTTGGCTTATAAATGCAATTCCTTCTCTACTCTAATTTGTTTATTTCACCAATGAAAATTGCATTTATAGGGAAGAAATATAATGGGGAGAAAAAAATGTTTATGTGTCATAGTTGAGACCAAATTTTTTGATTTTAAAATGTTGTTTTAAAAGAAAAGTTTTGGATGAAGGGGTTCATGGTTTTTGCTACCTTCTAATTTATGTTGATAGATATGGTTTTTGCTACCTTCATTTTATGTAATGGACATTTATTGCATTGCATATAACTTGTTATGTTGTACAATTGCTATTTAGAAATTTGAGCTGTGGATATAACAATACTTCTTCATTTTGTGACTTATAGGTATGGTGGAACCATTACAAAACAAATCAAGAGGCTTGGGGCTTCTTGTGATTGGAGTCGAGAGCATTTTACTCTTGATGAACGCCTAAGTCGTAAGAGTTTTTTTTATTTTTATTTTTTAATTGTTTTATTTGACTAATAAACCGATAACTACATTTTAAAATAAATAACTGTATTTGTGCTAAAGTGGAAGGAATTTGGGGGGACAAGATGTCCCAAAAATGTATTCTAACTCAAGAAGCTTGTCAATCACTTGCTTTGTCACTTGCACACAATTTTTGAATAGATCTAATGGTGAGATCTCTGGGAAACTGAATTTAGGAAAATCTGAAACCATTTTGGCTGTGTTTGTTTTGATGGGAAACATCTTTCTAGGTGAAATCCATAAATTCATCTTTTTGAGGCTGAAGGTGTGTGCTTTGTGTCATGGAAAAAAGGATATAGAAATCTTGTAGGAATGATGTGTGGAAAATGTTTCATCTATCTATTTGGTGCTGCATGCAGAAGGTAACCTGCAAATCTGTATGTACAAAATTCTTCAACCTAGCATATAGCTAATATAGAGTTGAGTGATGAAGTCAATATGCCATGCATTTTTTAGAAAGAGGCTGCTCTATCATCCTTTTGGAAGTCGTCGGATCTTAGAATAGAGGAGTACTACCTGTGCTGCATTTTTTGATGTATGATACAAGGTCATTTTGGAGCATTACAATTGAGGCACCAAATCAATTTGGCATTTATGGTTTTTGGTTGAGGAACTTTTGTGGCGACCCAGATTATTTTTGACTATACCTGATTTTAGTTTACGGCAAAACTCCAAAACTGTTCCGTTCCTTTGTACTTTTTCTGTTTATAAAATCTCGTGATTTTATGTACTTCATTCTCTTCAGCAAAATGTGGTGGGCATTTATCTCTTCACTCTTGTCATGTCTGAGGATCCTTTGTTGATTCTGATAACTGCATGCCGCTAGGAGGAGCATTTCGCTAGGTTCATTAAGTTATTTTCTTAGGGATTGCTTTCAACCAGTTTATTGTTTCTTTATGCTGTTTATTGTAAAATTCATAAGGTCTAAAATACGTGCCTTAAAGTGAATGAGTGTTTTGGTGTCATAGTCTTGTACTAGAACAATTTCTCTTCTAAGAGGACATTTAATGTCTAAATGGAGATTGGAGATGTTGGACATCTATATAATTTGGTGGCCGAGGTGAGGCTCTTAGATGGAAAATAGCAGCAATGTTATTTGACCATGTTTGACTGGACCAATAATTTGGAAGCTAAGAAGAAATATCTAAAGTTAATTGGATAAGTGTTTTATAGAGTGGCTAATAGTTTTAGATTGTATTGGAGGACCCTAAAGCAGTCTTTGTCTTGCTGATTACAAAGTGTCTGCCATATGCAGCATTAAAACGGGAGGGCAAATTCATTCTAAGGCATTTATCATGAGAGAGACAGGCAATGTTTTTATGTATAAAAATTAAGATGGATAGCTTGTAGTGTTGATGAAAGATAAATAATACAAAGCTACAGAGATATAAAGTTCTATGGTCCGTAAAGTTGCCTAAAAATATGCTTCTCAGTGGAAAATTTGGCCAGTTCTAACCATCACATATGGTTAGCCATGAACCATCATTCTAATGGCTTTTCCTTTAACCTTTTATTCCTGCAGCTTTAATGAGTTTTTTGTTCTAGAATTTCTATTCTTTATTGAGTTTATTTTTCTTGTTCTAGCTGGTACTCTGTATCCACATTTCAAAACAGTGCAATGTTTGTGATTTGAGAATTTCTACTTTTGCAGGAGCTGTGATAGAAGCCTTTGTGAGACTCCATGAGAAAGGCCTAATATACCAAGGTAGATTATCTGAAGTCTATCTTTTAAGTGTGAGTTATGTATTCTAAATATGTGCTGCTCAAGTTCTGTATATGTTCTGTGAATATGTGCTTTTCAAGTTTTGTGTTGACACCCAGATCCACTTTTGGCACATAAAGTCTGTCTTTTGCTTCTATCTTCTAGGGTTGGTTCTTGAATTAACTGCTTGAATTTGTTCTAAACTCGTGTATGATGATGCCCTGCTAAGCCTTCGTGGTGAAAGAAAACAGATCAGTTACCAAATGTATTTCCCACTTTTCATTTCCCTTTTAGAGTGTTATCAGCCAAGTATATATTTTGTTCTACACAGTATTGTTGCACAAAATTTGACTTTCACAAATATATATAGGTGATTGTGGTTAACTGCTGAAATAAACTTTGATAGTACAAGATGGAAGGTGCTCACATAAATATGCATGGGTTGAATGTTTCAGGTTCATACATGGTAAATTGGTCTCCTAATCTTCAGACAGCTGTCTCAGATTTGGTAAGTTCATGTTTGGTGAAGGTATTGCTGATATTTCTATTTTGTGATTTTTTTTGGGTTTGAGTTATATGTTCTACATACAAGTAGGAAGTGGAATATTCTGAAGAACCAGGTGCTCTCTATCATATTAAATATCGCGTGGCTGGAGGCTCAAGGTGATTGTTATGCTTTATTTTCCTATTCTAGTTATACACTAGACTTTATTCTCCTTTAAACCAGATCTTATAAGCTGTAGCTGCTTCTTAGTTTGAAGGGCTTATATGTTTAATTTGCACTGGAGCGACCTCCTTTTGTCTTCCAATTTGCTAAGTGTAGCCTCTTTTTTTATTTTTTATTTTCATTTGAAGGGAGGACTTTCTGACAATCGCAACGACAAGGCCAGAGACTCTATTTGGTGATACAGCTATTGCCGTTAATCCTGAGGTTTACGGCATTATCTTCCCTGTTCCCTAGATTTTCTTGTATTGTATGATCGGAATAATTGTGCTGATTTTTTTCTCAGTTACACATCTTTCTAGAATATCTGTCAAGTAATAAGCAGTGTTGTTTATTCTCTTACACATATGTTAAGAGAAAGTTGGATATATTAATGATGACAGTGGACCTGCAGGCATTATTGTATCAACAGCATTATTTTCTTAATTACTAAAATCTACAAAAAATATAGTTGTCATGTAGGTCCGGTATCCTTGATGTTTTTACTCAGTCATATTCAATGAATTGATATCTGATTTTTGTCAATGTTCCATTGGTCTCTGTTAGAAATATACTTTTAGGTTCAGTTTAAGATAAATGAAACTAACACTTGATAAATCAACTTGTTGTTTTCTGTTGTCTTGCAAATCTACTAGGAAATAATCTCAAGGATAACTAGCAGATTAGCTACCATGTTTAAGACCTATAGGTTATTAGGATTCTGCAGCATTATTAGCATAGGATTGTACTGTAAGGGGTAGAAATTGATCTGGACTGTTTGAGGATTAATGGGACGAGTTTTGTATTAATTAGGATCCCTGATCAGATTCTATGATCCTTTCATGTGACATGTACCGAAAATATGAATTTCATTACTAAAAGCTTTATCTTTTCACATTACAAGGTAATGGTACATGTCTTGTCAATGTTTGTGCATGTAAAAGTATGTGTTATTACTTGTGCATTACCAGATTCAACGTGCAGCTGCATTTGAGGAATGGTAGAGACTGCTGTCAGTGACATATACTGTATGCGTGGCAGTATGTAAAAGTATGTGTTATTACTTGTGCATTACCAGATTCAACGTGCAGCTGCATTTGAGGAATGGTAGAGACTGCTGTCAGTGACATATACTGTATGCGTGGCAGTAGTTTTTAGCCTTTTTTTATGATTTATTTCTGCATTCTGACAATGGTTGTTGTGTTTGAAGGATGAACGATATGCAAAATATGTAGGCTGTCAGGCAATCGTCCCCATGACATATGGTCGTCATATCCCAATTATTGCAGATAAGGTAAAATCATCACCTGCTTGTGTCCTCTGATATTTGGTACCTTTAATTTCCTTGACCTTATAAAACCTTTCCTTTTCCTAATCTGGGTCGGATTGATCTGTGAGAGGTTCCGGTTTAGTAGGACGCCTTCCTTACCTACAAATAAATAAATAAACAAATAAGATTAACTAGGGTTAATCAAGTAATTCATGCAAGGGAGAAATAAGAAGTAACTGGATTTCATGGAAGGAAGCTAAGCAATACAACAACAAAAACAACAAAGCCTTAGTCCCAAAATGATTTGGTGTCGGCTAACATGAACCGTCATAAGGAAGTTAAGCAATGAGGTTGTTTTTTTTTTTTTTTTTTTTTTTTTTTTTTGAATAATAAGCAATGAGAATCTTGTAATAAGAAATGATCATGAAAACTGTATTACTTGATTACACTGATTAATAAATACAACTCTTTAAGCTTTCTCTTAATTTCCTTTTTTATTACTTGAAATTACCGGGTTCATTGTACGATAATACTATGAGAATGTAGGGAATGATAGTGAAAAATGCCTCATGTAATTGGATCCCGAGAACTCTCTGGTAATTCAATGTAATAAATTATTCAAAAGTCATGTCAAATCACACATTATGTCATTCCAACACAGCTAGTAACCTTCCAGGTACTGCTCTACACCGCTATGTGGGTTCTGACATAAACTTAGGCATTTACAGATGATTTCAATTATTATTCATATTGCCCAATCAGTACCTATAAGGAATATCTATTAAAAATCTGCCAGTCCTCTTCTTTCTTTCTTTAATTATGCATTTTATTTATTTTCCAATTTTCATAGACCGAGTAAATTATATAGAAAATTAAGCAATGTGCTAGAGTAGAGGACTAATTTTTTTGGATAAAAATAAAAGAATCACCATCGTCAAGTTGAAGACAGTACTTGAGAGTTAGTTGCTTAACCACATGATCATAATACATATTGTTATGGAGGCTCGTTACTTTGTAAGTTGTATGTGACGGGCCAAGAAAGGCCACCAGTAATTCAAACTTACTCCTGATGCAAGAACAAACAGAAGAGGGAGGGAAGGGAATTGCTAGAGGGAAAGGACCTTAAGGACTGTTGATTGGCAGCGTATAGTGCTGGCATAAAAGGTGTTAGAATCGTCCCAGGAGTTGCTGTAAATAAGTAGGAAAGGTGGTCGACAGAAGAAGGCATCTTGAAGTGTCATAGGTTATGTGGGAGAGTTAGTTAGTCTCTCCAATACTCACCATTTTATTGTTCTATTTTGGCAATTGATTATCCTGCTTTATTTCAAAGCTTGTTTCTTTTTTGTTTACTGCTGTGTTGTGTTGTGTGTATTTGTCCCAATTGCAAGTGCTGCTCAGGTTCGTTACATGATAATATTTGCAGTTTATGCATGTGTTTACTTTGTATTATACATAATTTCAGATGCTTATTGATTAATGCAGTATGTTGATAAGGAATTTGGAACTGGTGTCTTGAAGATAAGCCCAGGGCATGATCATAATGACTATCTACTAGCTAGAAAGATTGGTCTCCCGATACTTAATGTTATGAACAAGGATGGAACATTGAATGAAGTTGCTGGACTTTATTGGTAAGTTTCTGAGTATTAGTGCACTGTCAGTGATCATGTCAAATATATTTATCCATATGATCATGCATGTTGCAGTGGGCTAGACCGTTTTGAGGCTAGGGAAAAACTTTGGAAGGATCTCACCGAGACAGGCTTAGCTGTAAAAAAGGAACCCCACACCTTACGAGTTCCTAGATCGCAACGAGGCGGAGAAGTGCGTGCTGTAATTAATTCACTATTTAGCAAAACTCTGCATTTTCCTTTTCATACATCACTCACACTATTTTCTTTCTTTTAAAAAATTGGCAAAGCAGATAATTGAGCCACTTGTAAGCAAGCAGTGGTTTGTAACTATGGAGGCCTTGGCTGAGAAAGCCCTTCATTCTGTTGAGACAGGAGACCTGACCATTATTCCTGATAGGTTTGAGAAGGTAAGTCATCGATAATGTTTTGAGATAGACCTAATTAATCACTCCATTCCCATTTGGTAATTCTTAGCTTTGTTCATTATTTTTAGACGTGTATGCATAAGGATTGTTAACATGGGTGCAAGGCCTTAGTAATTTGTATATTTGATTAAAGATGAAAGCTGTACACGATTGTAGTGAATGCTTTGAGAGGAAACAAAGAGGAATTTTTATATATTTTTCCGTACTTCATAATGTTCATGACATACTTCACTTTGTTTGAGAATGATGTTGTATATTTAGGCCTAAACTTCTCAGATTCTTAGTCATTAGCTACATCTACATACCCTAATTATTTTAAGTAGATTGTTAAACTTTAATTGTGATTGATAAAAATAGCCAAAAAATTCAATTTCAGCACTTTTGGACAAGTGTGTGTCTTGGGCAGGGGACTTGTGAAAATTCATGTTAGCCAACACCAAATTGGGACAAAGGCTTTGTGGTTGTTGTTGGTTGGGGGGGGGGGGTGGGGAGGATTGTTGGATCTAATTACTATATTTGTAGGTGGAGAGTGCATGTGACACCTATGAGCTTGTATGAAGATACATGAGAATTAAGGTTGTTAAAAAAATGAGCAACACCCACATGATATGCATGCACTAGTGACGTCCAGTGTGAGTAGGGGGTTTGGAAGTGGAAAAGATGTTTTTTTTTTTCTTATTTTTTTTTTTCCCCCAAAAAACTAAACTTGCGATGGTTGTTATTAATAGAAGTTTTCAAGTTAGGCTTTGCAAAGGCACCTAGGTTGTAGTGGTTTTGGTGATTTGTCATATTTCATTGATGGCGTCTAGTGTGGGTGGGGGGTTGGAAGTAATAAAAATGGTTAACCCCAATAGAAATTAGCTACTTGCGATGGCTAATATTAATAATAATTTGATTTGTTGAAGTGACCATGTCAATTTAAATGACCACTTGCTTTAATCATGATTTAATTTAAGGCAGCCTAGGGAGGTGAGCTAGAGATGATATGTCATCATTGTCTTGTACTTACTGTTGGTTTTGTTGTCACCTTTGATTGACTAGGAAAGAGAAACTTGATGAGCTTCAAAGTTTGCCCTATGACGGATAGGTTTGGAAGAAATAATGACCATTTGCGTTTTGCTATCTCTTGCTTATAGACATGAGGTGAAAATCCATGGATTTTGATTGAGATTTTGGGTAAACAAATGACTCTCTTATTGGAAAGTTCATGACTATTTTTTTTATGCAAGCACAATGTGGGGATGGCATCAATTACTTTTGTTTATCTGATCATAGTAAAACATGACATTCTATGTCAAGACAAGGAGTTTGATATGGAATATCACAAATTACAGCCACTTACCATGTTAGTATAGTTTTGTGATGTAAGAATATTGAAAAAAGAGGCTGTTAAGGTGGTTGTAGAGATTAACGGGTTGAAGAGGGTTTATGTTGATTGATATGATGGATTTGGAATGCAATTTACAAAGGAAAATAGTATTAGGGAAAGTTAATTAGATATTGGTATAAGGTAGTAGGTCAAGAATTGAAAATCAGAGGTGAAGGAGGTCTGGATTTTGGAAATCAAAAGGGAGGATTGTTGTGATGAGTGTGATGATTGATAACTAGTGATCCAGATGCCACTGTTAGGGAGAGCATTTCTTCCATGCAGGGGTCCACAGTGATGACAACCATTAGAGATATATGTTGGATGGCATTGAGTGGAGAGCCTGCTGACTTAATTTTGCTGCTTATAGTTCTTAGAGAAAGCATTTATACGTAGTAAATTTGCAATATTGAAACTGATAAGCAGTGTATTATTAGGACCAAGGGTTGTGCTCACAGATTGTGCAATGAATTGGTATAATATGTAATAAACTAACCTAAGGAGGGGCATTATGGGTAGTCTGGTATTATTTGTTAATAGCTTTATTTTTTAAAAGAATTGAGAGAGAGGGGAAAGGAAGAGGCAGGCAGATTTTTGGAGTGAATCCTTTGGAGAGTTGTGACCTCAAGTCACTATTTTGAGAGTGGTGACAGTCACTAATAGACATTGGCAGCTTAAAGTTGCTAGCTTGTACAAACCCCCTTTTACAATATTTTCAATCAAAGATTCGATCTTTTCTCTATGTTATCTGTGTTAATTGTGTGTGTAGAGTCCAACAAGCTTGAGTCCATTACGTTATATTGCGGATTTAATGGACATGAAATAAAAATGAAAAAAAAGATAGATTTTTATGTGTAAAATCTTCTCTTTGCATAAGAGAAGTTTAAACCATGAACTTTGCACTAGGATTTTAATCAATGTATGGGATGATGATACAAGACTCTAAGATCTCTTACTAATACAAATTCTCTCACTTAGGGTTCTCTAACCTAAGAATTATAATTTTAAATGATGTAATAGGCTATTTGTAGAAGGGTACAAATTCTCCTAACCATGGAATTAAAACTCGGCCGTTTTGTTACGTATCAGCTGTTCTGTAACAGATTTTGGATGTGCCGTTCTGCAAAACCCCGTAACATAATGTCGCGACAAAAACCACATCTTTCTCCCCGCTTCATCCATTACGTAACGCTGACTTGCCGTGTTACACATTTTTTTTCCCTTTACATCCATTCTATTTTAGTAATAAGTATGCAGTCTATGATTCATGATATTTTGAGTGATTATTTGTTCACTAAATATGTTATCCACTCTTATCATTATAGTATAATTCTATTATGTTGAAAGAATACTTTATTAATTATATATATATATATGTATATATATATATATATATATATATATATATATATATATATATATATATATATATATATATATATATATATATATATATAAAATGTAAACAAGGCTTAAAACCATTAACGTGAGTTTTTTAGAAAAAAAATTCACACTCTGTTAACCATGATCCGTTCTATTCATCCATTACAAGCCGTTTCCTCGACAACGCGATCGTTAACATGATCGCGACTGCATCCACAATTTTCATAGATGCTCCTAACCCTAATCGACTAAGCACATTTTCTTGGAGAAATACACGACCATGTATAGTACACTACATGGTCGTGTAGTAGTCTAGGTACACGGTCATGTACCTTAGTCTACACGGTTGTGTAGTCTATTGCTTACAGTCTTACACACCCCAATAAGCTCGCAACGCCTCAATCACCATGGTCGTTGCCATGAATACCTGTCCTAGTAGAACCATCTCCAAAAACCCAACATGTAGTCATGCATAAGGCCCTGGTCATTATCAAGAACGTGGGTACCGAGAATACAATAATGGAGGGTAAATTAGTGGCTAATAAGAGTATGTCGTCAACTTTGTTTTACTCTCATTCCTAATAAAGTGGTATGGGCATATACGTACTCCCTTCTGTGGTGTGTGGAATCTGTCAGCTTTCTGTTGTTTTCCTTCTTTACCATGAATGATTGTTCTTATGCAAAATTTGTTTTACGTTTATAGATCTATAATCACTGGCTATCAAATATAAAGGATTGGTGTATAAGTAGACAATTGTGGTGGGGACATCGTATACCAGTCTGGTATATTGTGGGAAGAGATTGTGAAGAAGAATATATAGTTGCCAGGAGTCCAGATGAAGCACTTCAGAAGGCTCAGCAGAAGTACGGGAAGGATGCAGAAATATATCAGGACCCAGATGTTCTAGATACTTGGTTTTCAAGGTTAGCTATTAATGTTGTATGATAAGTGGGCCTTGTCATAGATATTCATGATGCTGAAAAATGTGCATTAACAATGGATCCCATTTCCTACATTAGATGGGTTTTATTTATTTACTTATTTATTATTATTATTATTATTAATTTTTTTTTTATTTTTAATTTTTTTTTATGTGAGCTTATTCCCTTTCCTTTTCTTATTTGGTGTCCTTATTTGAGGAGATTAAATGAGTCATTTATTATTCCTTCTATCTTAAGATATACTCCTTCTGTTCCACAATTTCGGTTACAATTGGTGTTTTTGTGTGGTTATTAAGTAAAATAAGATAGTGGAAAGCAATGAGTAGATGTCACATATATCAAATATTGAGGCATTAAGTCAGCGTTGAAGAATGGGAATGTTTTCTTTGGGAGAAGGTAAATTTTTTGGTAAATAGGATTAGTTGCTTTGGGAGTAGGTAAATATTTTGATAAATAGGAATAATTGTTTTGGGAGTAGGTAATTGAAGTTGCGTTGAAAGTGGGTAAATATGAGGGAAAATGCAAAATATATGTATTGAAAATAGAATTAATTGAAACGTAACCAACAAAGGGGAACCCCCAAAATAGCAAACTTAACCAAAATTGTGGAATGGAGGGAGCAGTTCCTAATTTAATTTTGCAAAGTTTTTAGAGTAGTTGAATGTAGATAAATAAATAGAATTTCATTATGAATTGTAGGTAGATAGAGTGAGAAAATAGTAAAAGTAGATGCTGTGATATAGAAAAGGGCTAAGTTTATTAACTGTTGGCTTTTACTTAAAAGAGAAAGTGGAATCGTCAAGTTTGGATGTCCAATTTATGTATCTGTAAGTTTATTTTGAGACAAAGAGAGTATTTTTGAAATGTTGTAGATTATTGCCTGGCATTATGCTACAAATAACTTGTAACATGCCTTACAATTTGGAAGGTTTCCAAGTATAACTTTTCTATGTCAGTTCTCTTTGACTTATACTGATTATCTTGTTTCCTTTTATGATGTTGCAAAGTTAATTATCTTGTATGATTTGTTATGACACTTACGAGAAATGTACTTGTATTCTTCATTTCACATTAAGTACCATGTCATATCCACAATAATCCGAAATGTGTATGGACACTTTGACACTTCAATTTAGACCAAACTCATGGAATTGTTTCAAAATCTTTCATCTAAGAAAAAAAAAACTTGTCATTTTAAATATCAGTTGTATGCAATATTTCAAAATCTTTGAGGCATAATTTTATTATTAGGTTAAGAAGACTACTATATTCTACATTGAGATTCAGTGAGAACTGAGAAGTCCTGAATTTTTTTTGTTCCTCTTTACACAACACCCATAAGATAGCCACATATGTAGCATGATAAGGGGCTTCACAGAGGATAAGTAGTCTTCCATCTGTGTCCAAAAAAAAAAAAAAAAAAAAAAAAGAAAAGAAAAGAAATAATTCTAGAAGCTCCCTAATCATTTGAAATTTTGTTTCTATACAATCCTTCAAAATCTTTGAGATTTAAGTTTAATATGAGGCCAAGAAGACTGCTATCCTATAATGAGATTTAGGTTGTTTATTCCTATTTACACAACATCCACAAGATTTGTTTGTTCAAAATGGCGATGGGTTTTCGTGTCTTCACTGGGGAGCAGAACTAGAAAATAAGTCCTCCTTCAAAGCTTCTGGTTATATTGCAAGAAGTTGTTACTACAGGACTTGCACAATATAATCCTTACAAGGCAACTTTTATCAAATTACTGAGACATATTGGTCATAGAAAATGATCTCATCTACACATTAACTGTTCCTATATTGCAGCAGAAAATTTGAGTCATTTACTCACTTCTGTATGAGAGAAATTAATGACCTTATCTCATTTCTTTTTTGTCATTTCCTTTCATGGAATAATGACACCAATTTTTATTCCATTTGTGAACACTAAAACTTCTGTAAGCTTCTGATGATGTTTTGCTTATACATTTTTCTCCAGCTCACTGTGGCCCTTCAGCACACTGGGATGGCCTGATGTATCAGATGAGGATTTTAAAAAGTTCTATCCAACAACAATGCTTGAAACAGGGTAATTAAGAGCAATACTCTTTTCTGACTGCCACACATGTTTGTTGTCTACAGTTGCATTAACTATGAGAATGTAACTTCAGTATGGAAACCTGATAGTTGTAACTTGCTGCCTCTGTGAGCAAGAGTAGGGACAGCTGTAGCCCACATCTTACTTTTCAGCTACATGGTGATTTCTGTATGGAATCTATTTTACCTTAAGTTTTGGTTTCCATTTTTGTATCGAAGATGTTTGGGAAAATGGATAAGATAACTGAAGAAGTGGATTGGTGTAGTATGGCAGTGGGTTCCATTAGCTATCTGGTAGTCCACATAGAAAAAAGGAACTGAGTAACTTACTAAACATCGGGTTATTGCTTGCTCTCACGAAGATTTAACTTATAATTGTTAGTGCTTTTATATAGCTTGCATCAAACAGTGCAGGTAGAGCATTTCTTGTTATTTCTTGACTATATTGATCAATGCTTGATGATTCTGATGCTTGCCATCCCTTTGTATAGGCATGATATACTGTTCTTTTGGGTAGCGAGAATGGTTATGATGGGAATAGAGTTTACAGGAAATGTACCTTTTCGTTATGTATACCTGCATGGCCTCATTCGAGACTCTCAAGTGAGTGGCTTCCTTACTTATGAATCTGATTTACATTTTTTATGGGAGGGTTAGACACAAAGGCATATGTTTGGTATCTGAAATCAAGGGAATTTGCAGTTGCAAGGTGAAGCCCAACCCATTCATCTGGACATTCGGATATTGAAAATTTGAAATGTGTTGGACTTATATTTTTTGTTCATGTCACTTATGCTGCTTTACAAAAGCTTCAGGCACAGAAAATCATCATACAATAATGAACATCAAGAAAATTTGTTAATCATTTCCTATCATTATTCATCTTTCAGTGATCCAAGTTTTGGGAAGGGGGCGTGGAGTAGAAAATGAGTTGATGTAATGCGCAATTAAAACCTAATATGACAGAAGTCAAGGAAATTCTAGGAAAAAAAATTACTAAAAAATAAAAAAATTTAACTGAGAGAGCTGTTGATTGGGCCTTCCAGGGACCTGGTTAAGGGCCCATTTTGAAATTATTGCTGTCCTGGTGCTATGGCTACTTGTCATCTTGCGCAAATACTAAATTTTTAGTTATGGTGTTTTGTAACTTAATTATGCCCAATGCCTGATTGGATTTCCATATTGGGACTCCTCTTGTCCAACCTGATATTATGGAGTCAGATCAGATTATTACGTTGCCAAGTCCCTTCCATGTACTGGTTTCCTGCCAACTTTATCTACCAACTAAAAATGTCTTTGCCTTTAGTCCGCTATCTTTTTATAATCAGCAAAAAAATGTTTGCTAAAACTTCAAAAAGGGCAATACAGAAGGACAAGGTGACCTTACAGAGTTTGAGCTCCCCATACTAAATAGAACATCCTTGAGTATGAGTAAAGGTTAGATGATAGAATAACTAGAGATTTACTTGCTTCTGAATTAGATGCCAAAGTCTGAAAAGGTTGTATTATTATACCTTTAAACTCGTCGTTTCTAACTTTATTTTATTCTTTTATTATTTTTCATTGTGTGTTTTAGGGAAGAAAGATGTCCAAAACACTGGGAAATGTAATTGATCCTGTTGACACAATCAAGGAGTTTGGAACTGATGCGTTACGATTTACACTTGCACTGGGAACTGCTGGTCAGGTCTGATTAATGAAATTATAAACTCCTACACTATTATCTAATAGTAGGCCAGCTTCCATATCCTTACACCCTCCTTTCTCTTTCCTAATATCTTGTACTTCTGTTTCTCCTTTATAATTCTCATTTTTTTCGGTATCATTTTGAAATGGTTATTTCACTACGTACCACTAAGTTTAGTATGCTCAAGATCCCGATATTTGAATTAATGCGTTGTATACCTCAAAGGTTTGAAAAAATACTGCATAATAAACTCTTAATGATCAAACAGATGTCAACTTTCAGTAGTTAAAACCTCAAAATAGTGAGATCCTTAATTTAAATGCTGCAGAATAATCAAAGCATTTTGTGTAATATTTTGAATTAAAACCTCATTCATTAGGAGTTTTTAATGACAAAAATTAATTTCTGTTTGGTCTAATGGGGTATTATCCAATAATATTTCATACCTTAGGGGTGAACGACTGCACGGTGCATTTATATAATTGTTTGAAACCTCGAGGGTACATGGTGATATAACCAGTGATAAAACCTTTTCTTATGGTTTACAATATTATTTATATCTAATCAAAATATCATGTGAGGAAGACTTATAATAACCTTTTAAAAGACCTGGGTACCTTTTCTATTTTCGCGATAATCTTTTGTATCTGGGGTGTAACTTTTTTGTGCTGCACAATAACTTACTGCATGTCCACATGTGGCTTCTATACCACTAAAATGTGAATGCGAGGCATGCACTCCTTAATTTGCTTAGATGGGGAGTACTAGTGAGATGCCAATTGAGGGAGTAAGAGTACTGAGAGGTGTATAAACCTTGTAAGTAGTCTCGTGATATCTTTCTATTGAGATATACTAATGTTTCTTTCTTATACCATACTGCTCATTTGGCCTCTAGGATATCCCATTTAATCTCCCTATTGTTGTTGCCTCTTAATGGTATAATGTCTTCGTGGGACAAAAATGTATTGAAATTCCGCCGATGGCACCAAATGGCATCCAATGGCTCCAAATGACATATATTAAGATAGTAACTATAGCAGTCGAGCTTTTAAGCTAGGATATTATTTGAGGAAGCCCCAGATTAATCTCCTTGATAGTCAAAATTTGTTTATCAAGTGGCAAAATCATAAATAAATCAACAATTTTGTCTAGTCAGCATGACAATTTTGATAAATCAACATATGTGGGACCCATAGTTAACAAAAAAATATGAATTTATTTAAATTTATTTACATTTTTCCATTTGGTAAACACATTTTGTTTATCAAGGAGATAAACTTGTATTTTCTCATATTATTCATTCGGAAATAAAAAAAATAAGATACTTCAAATGCTTCACATTTTCACTACCAGCTGCTTGTCTTGTTTTTTTCCTAGAAAAATACAGGATTATATTACAGGTTTTGTACCACATGACTTTAAAAAAAATTCTTTCAACTACCACATGTTCAATTTTCATCTGTATTTATTAATTTTTCTCACATAGTCTAGGATTCTAAACATATTAAGGAGTGGTGAATAACACAAATATAGTGGTTTTGTTTTATTAAAGGTGGATTTAAAAAAAAAAAAAAAAAAGTAAAGGTTTGGTTGATTAAATTGAATAAGTAGAAGACATCTAGGGCTTGCTTGATTAAGGGTGAATAAAAATAGACAACATTGGAGTTTGCTTGATTATAATTTATAAGTGAATGAAAAAGAAAATAGTGCAGCAATGACACATTTAAAAGGGACAAGTTTTGTAGTGAAATGATACTTTTTATCTTTACTTATTTATATTTTAGTTGACAAATGAGTCTTTTAGTTAGGGATGGAAGAAGTACTATTATCTCCATTTTACTCACACCACAAGTATTAGCTCGAAAAACAACAAACTAAATCTGCTAAGGCTTTTGATGGTTTCGTTGCCTTTTTTATGTAAACTATTGAGCTTTGTGCATACTTTTTTAATTCATATAACCTTTTGAACTAATGCATTCTGATTTATCGGCCGTTTCTTTGTAAATGATGTATGCTGAGGCCAATCTATCTATTTTCTTTTGTTCATTCTCATACATCTACTGGTGAATAATGGGTTAGAAACTTGTAATTCTTATGATAATTATGGAGCTGATAGGAAAATTAGTTTTTAATGAACTGAACAATGAAAAGAGGACATTGTGTTAAAAAAGTAATAACTTCTGGTTTAATATAGTGTTTGCTAGGTATTTTATGAGCTACTATACAATTATTCCTTGATGCCAGATAACCAGTGATGAATGTTATTGTATGGTGCCTTTTAGATAAAATTTAATGGTTAAAAATTTCTTGGTTGATTGTTTACCATCTCTAGTGGGGGTTCTTCATCAGGGTTTTCTTATATTAGTTATTGAATATGTATATGTGTAAGCAGCCATGTATGGTTAAGCACTTTCTGTCATTCTGGGAAGAGTCACTTATTTGTCTTTTTTTTGGAAAAACCTAGGTGTAAGTTTTTATAATAAAGCTCATATTCTTTGTATAAGTGAGATATTTTGTTTTCTTTTGTGAAATGGCAATAATTAACGGATTAGGTGTTGTTTGGTTTTTTAAAGGCTTCTTAGGTGATCTAATATAAATTAATACCGCCTCTTTGTTTTCAAACCAGGACCTCAATTTGTCAACCGAAAGATTGAGTGCAAATAAGGCTTTCACGAATAAATTGTGGAATGCTGGGAAGTTTGTGCTACAAAACCTGCCTAACCAAAGTGATAATAATGCATGGGAAACTTTACGTGCATATAAGGTTGGTATATTTCCTTTTTTTTAATGGCTGGTATATTCTTAACCAAGCACCACAGCATTTCCTCTCATTTATACTTGTTGATTTCTGTATCTCTTTATGGTATGTTTGAGTTCATATGATTGTTGTGTCAAGAAAGCTTCAATTTGCATATTGTTTCAGTTTGTTGCCAGTGAAAATGACAGCTTTTTTACATGAAATGTTAAACCCAAAATCAAATGGACAAGTTTAATTTTCATATCCTAGTGTTTTTGCTTGCTGCCTGTCCTTTTTATCAAGTTAAGCCACAGGTTCCAATTTTTGATTTGTCTCCAGAGATGCAGATACGTAGCATAGCATATGAACATGGATATATCTAAAATATTAAGAGTTAATTCTAGAGATCAAAAGGAATAAAGTGAATCTGTAGTAGTTGCTATTTCCTGGAGGATATCTGTCCTCTTCTACACTCTTAGTCTACTGTCTTTGTATATCTGCTTATTCTATCGAAAAAAGTGAAGAATACTCCCTCCCTTCAGTTTTAATTGCAACATGTTGACTTTCACGTTTGCCAATGCAAAACTATAACCATTAATATCTTTAATTATCATCAAGTAATAATTAAAGTAGATATCTTGAAAATACACTTTGAGATGAATCTAAGATCCCAATTGACTACATTTTTTTTAAATACCAAGCACTAAATATGGTCTAATGAAAATTGTGATTAGTGGCAACTGGCAAATGTCAATACATTGAAAATAATACAATGTAATAATTGAGTTGTGAGCATATGACTCCGTTAGGAGGTATCTTTAATAGTTTAACTTTTTCCTATAAACAAATAGTATTCTTAGTCACTGGTAGCGTCTTTATGATGTAGGATGGCAAGAGTACAAGATTTATGAATTATATGGTTAGAAAGTTCATTGTGCCTCTTTTAGTTGACTAGTATGCCAACTTAAATGATATGATTTTAGTAATATGATTGGATATATGCTTATGGTTTCCAGGACCCAAAAAGTGTTTTGTTTCTGACCTTTTCAGAATGGGGTGGTGGGGTTTGGGTGGGTGTTTGAAAATTTAAAGTGTAGTGATGATGTGGAGAAGGTTTTGAGAAACAACTCATTTTGGTAAATAAGGGGGATAGAAGTTTAATGAAGTTTTAAAACCACAAGGGTGGTAATTTTCTTCAACTGGCCTAATTTTCTGAGCGGAAAATGGCACCAAATCAAGAGGGACTTAGCCTAGCTCAAGATTCTTGCACTCGTATGGATGTATTCTTAAAAGATGACTTGTATATTGTAAACTCTGATACCCTTTTATGTTACTGTAATTTTCATTGAAATATACTAGAAAAGGAAGTCTGACCATGTTGTCACTCTTTAAGTGCTTTGTTCTTCTTTTGTTGTAAGGTATATAATTTGGACAGTTCTGTTACTATAAGAAAATATTTTCAACTCATTCCATCATAGTCTATATAATTACTTGTTCTTGGTCAAATGAGTCATATCTTACATAGTACTAGAGTGAAGCTTTTTAAGGAAGTCATGGATAAAAACACTGCTTACATTGTTTGACAAATTTTTAGGATTGAATATTAATTGTAATAAAAATGGCATGTGGCATACTTGATTACTTCACTTTCCATTTTGATTAAGAGCAGGGTCTTTTAAAGACTTGCTTTAAATTATTATTTTTTACTTACGAGTTTTTCTTTTCTCTTCGACCTTCGCTAGCATCTTCTATCAATTTCACTTTCTTCCCTCTCTCTCTGTCCTTTTGGCTTTCCATCTGTGTGTGGTTGTGCACGTGTGATTCTACGTATAGAGCATTTTTTGAAGTTAAAATTTTTCATAATCTAATGAGAACATTAGCACGTTGCTGATTATTTCTGTATTCCATTTTCTACTTTTTATTAAATTTTTACAGTTCGATAAAGAAGAGTCATTGCTGATGTTGCGATTGCCAGAGTGCTGGGTGGTGAGAATTCTTCAGGTTGTGCTTATGTTTATTGAATACTATACTCCTATATTATATTGAATCATCTTTAATCAACAGGTATCAAAACTACACATGTTGATTGACCAAGTGACTACAAGTTATGACAAATTTTACTTTGGAGATGTTGCAAGAGAAACTTATGATTTCTTTTGGGGAGATTTTGCTGATTGGTATGAATTTCTAAGTTCTAATGATCTGTCCTCAAATTCTGCTTCAATTATAGTTACCACAAAAAGTGAGCAATGTAACTAATAAAATGTATGGATATATTTTCTTGATACTACAGTAATTGGTTATATTACATGTCTTGTAAATTATGATATACTTCGTCCATTTCTTTTTAAATGCATCACTTCCTAAATAAGGAAGTTTCAATTTCCTTTTTAGTTGATGATTTCACTTTCTCTCTCTCATATCACATGGGTCCTCTTTTTCTTTCTCTCTATCTCTCTCATCTCCAAAAACTGCCTAGGAGTCCAAGTTTTTGAAAATGATGCGAAAAAAAATTCAGCGGATGTATTATATTTTGTAAAGATCATCCATGATTACTGAATACGTACCTAAGTAACAGATTACAATAATGTCCAGAAAATATTTACACATATTCAGTAACAATCAGACCTTTCATTAAGCAATGCGCAGGAGCCTGAAAGAATGGATATACATCACTTTGTAACTGATAATTAATCTTATTTCACTGTCCGTAGTTGATTTCATGGTAAAGAAGGGATTGAGGGTACTGTTTTAGTGTACTCTATGAATTTGCTTGTATAATGATTTGTCAGTGATTGGCTATCACATGCTATGTATCTTCATTGATATTCATTATAGAGTATACTCGATTTCCTCCGTCCTTTTGCCAATTTCTATCAATGAAATATTTCTCCATCAAAAACTGCCCGAACTGTTTTCTGCATTATTTTCTAATCTAACTGAAGTGAGTGTATGAACAAACAATGTAAACCTTATGAATATTTCTTTGTTTGACTTATTCTAATAAATTCTTGCCTATAATAGGTACATTGAAGCTAGCAAAGCTCGCCTTTACCAAGCAGAGGATAACTCTGTGTCCTCTGCAGCAAAAGCAGTACTTCTGTATGTCTTTGAAAACATATTGAAAATTCTGCATCCGTTTATGCCATTTGTTACCGAGGCTCTTTGGCAGGTATGATGAGTGAACTTCAATAATAGTGGTCCTGCAGTCCTGCATTTGTCTGGATAACTATAGTGACATTATTTTGGTTGAACGGATTTAGATGCTGTGCCTAACTGTCACATGAAATCACCGAACAATTATGTTGTATTGGTTTATTAGCTCTTCAGTGAGAAGTCTCACCTTAATAAACATCACAACTTAATGCTGTTATTCTAGAGGCCTTTATTATTTTGTTAAATAGTGTTGGTTTCAGATGAAAGGGTGCTATGTCTGATTCAATGTTCATAATTACTGTTAGAAATATTCATTTGAGGAATAGGGACAGTTTGAAAATGTCTAGTACATCCTGCCACCTTGTCGTGCAATAAATTTGGATAATTTATTCCTGTCAAGCTGTTGCTTTAGATTCTACAGAGGCATGTTTAAGTCTGTAACTATGAGACATGCCTTTTGCCTGTGATGTTTGTGTGTTCGTGATGAATGATTTAATTTGCCAAAGGAATTATTCATTAAAAAAAATAGTAGTTTACAAAGAAATTAAATTAAAGTAAATAATATATGAAAGCAGAGTCTCTATTTTCCTATTCAACATCTTCAATTTCTCCTGGCTCCAGCCTTTGAGGATGACAGAATATGCAAACTGGAAATAAGTTCTCCGACATGATTATGTAGTAGGAAACTTGGTTGGGGAGTGAAAAGTTTTACTCTTAGGAGTTAGGACTATGGCATTAAGATACTGGGTGTGAATTGCCTCACTCTATATATAAATTCCTCTCAGACTAGATATAATGATTTTCCTTTTTTAAATTGTCTTTAAAGAATTATATTTCCTCTAAAACAAACCTCAATTGCAGTAATACCATTCCTGAAACCTTTTGGGAGATTTAAAGTTGTTCTAGTGTTGAGTAAGCTCCTTGTGCTTTAGTAAATCTGGTTAGCTTATGTTATATGTGTTTGTGATCCCAAGCTGTTGTTCCATAATAACAATGGTATTGTGACTAACTTTTTTAGATACGTAAATTTAAGAAGCTCAGTCTGTTGGTGACATCAATAATAATAATCGTCGTCTGTGATGGTTTTTATGGGATTCAAATTAGTACTTATATTACGCCCCTAGTATTTGTATTAGATAGTTGCTTCTGTTAGGGTTTTGATGGTGGTTTATGCTTTATGTAGGCAATCCCCCATCAAAAAGTGCCTCTGATAGTATCTTCATGGCCAAAATCTTCACTTCCAGTGTATTCAAATGTGATAAAAAGATTTGAGAACTTTCAAGCTTTGGTGAGTATGAATTCTTGGTGCACTAAAATCTTGTTTTTGATTTTTAATTTTTGTAAATGATTATTTTTTTAATATCAATTCCAGTCATGGTGTATGCTAATGTAAGAATGACAGAAATTAACACTATCTGTTTCCAGACTAAGGCTATCCGTAATGTTAGAGCTGAATACTCGGTTGAGCCAGTGAAACGGATATCTGCAACTATAGTTGCCAACCCTGACGTTCTTCAGTACATCTCTGTAAGTATACAACTAATGTCTTTCCATCCTGTATATGAATGTTCTAATGATATGCTAATAGATGAGTTTTTATGTATGTATTTTTGAATCTTTATGTGACTCATATCAGAAATATCTTATTAATTTATTATATTTAAAACACTTATGTGAACTAGTGTTATAATCCGTATACTATAATTTCAAATTAGGCTTTGGAAAGGCTTATGAAAAAAAAAAGGTTCAGTTCTCTCTAAGTTTTTTGATGATAAGTTTTTCTTCCTGAAGGAATTGCTTGATGTCTGCCTTTGTTGCCTCATTTCATGTCAGCAATAGAAGTCATCCTAAGTAGTCATTCAGAGTAATAAATTATGTTATACAATACAGTCAAACTTTTCTTTATCACCTTGTTGCGTATGTTAAGGCGTGAGCCGTCCTCTGTGCATCATACCATGTACCTTTGTGGTTGTTCTTTCTGTTTACAAGGCAAAATAATAAACTAGTGCTCTATTCTGGGCTTTTGAGAAGAATCACATAGCTGAGATGACCAGGACTTACTGAGGCTTTGTATTGTAGGAAGCATATGGTTATTCTGATATGGGTGAGTGTATGTGTTTAGTTTGTGGTGTGTGTGTGTGTGTGTGTGAGCGAGTTGGTGGCAGGCGGGTGAGGTTTGCATTCTAGCGTGCCAGTTGGTGGTGGGCGGGCAAGGGGTGTGTGTGTGTGTGGCAATACATTGTGTTTTTTTTTTTTTGGTCTCCTGAGGTTGTAATTAGTGCCATATTCTATTTCTCTAACTGTATGTTTAAAAAGAAGTGTTAAACGTTATCTTCTTTCATAACAGGAAGAGAGAGATGTTCTAGCTCTCCTATCCAAGCTAGACCTGCAAGCCTTGCGTTTTGCAGAATCACTTCCAGGTTTGTCATCACTACAGTTGAATATTGTGCTTTAACTCTAAAAATGATGATCTACTCTATGAATACATATTAACACTTTCATTTCCAGAAGATGCAAATCAATCAGTTCACCTAGTTGCCAGTGAAGGTTTGGAAGCATATCTTCCTCTTGCCGATATGGTAGATATCTCTGCTGAATTGCAGCGGCTTCACAAGCGTCTTCTTAAGATGGAAGGGGAGTATAAAGGAATTAAAGCTCGCCTTGGTTCTCCGAAGGTAGGAGATGTTTTGGTCACTAACTTCTGTTTAACTTTTGATCTTTCTTTCTTTATTGTTTTATACTCTCTAGTATGCCCATATATTGGTGCAAAAGAGGCTAGAGACTGGAGCTGATGATTTTACTTTGTTGACCTATCACATCCACTCACATCACACCCATATATCCAATCATTTTATGCCAAAAAGCAACACTTGAATGGGTTAGGGTAGTACTTATACGAAAGACACTGAAAATAAAAGAGATCCAGCTTATATGATCTAAGTTCTCCTTCTTAGTGCTAATTTTAGAGTCTTTCAAATTCCTGCTATTTTGGATACATAGTTTCATTGAAGAGTTTGGACACATGTTAAAGACTTGGTTGTAGAAGAGCGATCAAGATCTTTATGTTCTTGTCCTATAGAAATGAAGGATTTTATCTAATGAATGGGCCATCTGGCTTCCTGTACTGTCAGAGCCTTAGCCATCTTTCACATGTGTAATAAAAGGTTTTTTATTTTTAATTTACGTAGTAATAATTTTACTTTTAGTCATCTTATCTAACACCCCTTGGGCGTTTATTAGGTTTTTCCTTTTTTTTTTTGTTTTTTTTTTAATTAACATAAATTCTTTCTGAGTCTTTCCGATTTTCTTCCCATACCCATAGTTTTTGGAGAAAGCTCCCGCGGAAATTGTCCAGGCGTCTCAAGAAAAAGCTCAGGAAATGGAGGAGAAGATAAATCTGACCAAAAACCGAATAGCTTTTCTTGAATCAACAGTTTTGGTGACAAACAGTTAAAAGTGAGTGATACTAGCTGCTTCTTTTGCTTATTTGTCTTTATGTTGGATCCTGTAAATTGATATTTCAGCATAATAACGGTGAATGGTCAGGCATCTCCAGGCAATTCGTCGGTGTTTTTGCTGTTAAGAGGATTGTGGTAGGCAGGTAGCATTCAAGCTGAGAATCTTAGAAAATTTCTGTTGATTCAAAACAACACATCATGCAATTTTGACTCATTTACATTCATGTATAGTGGTATTTAAATATAAATCTTGACTTTAGCCATTTCATGGGACTCCTCTCTATTTAAGAGTCAAGGTACATCAATTTAGCTAGTGAATAATATATTCAACAACTATATTATATAGTGATATTTTAAACAATTTTGCCTTGTTTTTTTATGTGTTGGGAACATTTTAAGGTACTCCGTAGCATTTTTCTTGTGCATGCGCTGCAGGAATTTGTAAAACAAAATTTTCGTTGACAACCTCTATTGATCACAAGTAGAAGTGATCGAGGCCATATACTGCAGGTTTATGAAATTGTGGTAAGATAGGAAAGTTTGAGCACTACTTGCCTACTAGGAGTCATCAGGGCCAAATATGGCGTGAGTTTGTGGTAGCTAGGGATAGATTGACATACAATCATATACATTTGTTTATTTATTTCCTCCGTTTCAAATTACTTGACACATTTTTTCATTATGCATGCCAATGCATAATTTCAATCATAAGTATCTAAAATTATCAATAAAATTGAAATTATAACTAGTTAGGTAATTTGAAATTACACATGATGATTCAACATAGCAATGTTTTGCCTTACCTATAAATTACTAAAACTTGTAAAATTAGAGTGAAATATACTCAAAAGTCAAAACATGTCGATTAATTTGAAATTGGTGGGAAATATGTAGGGGATGAATTTGGTAATAAAAGAGCAATGTTAGGTTCATCACCTTGACAAACAAGGGGTAAACATTTAATCTCAAATAATATTTTGAATTGCTATTTGACGACAAAATCATGACAACAATGTTAATGGATCTTATCCTTATTTCAAATTGTTATTACTTCCTCATCCATAGTCACCTTCAACCCATGAAATCATACCATCTCACACCATCACCTAGACTGCCATCACAAGTAATACCATGATTGCCGCCGTTGCCACCACCATCACTGCCGCCGCCACCACGACCATCACCACCACCACCACAATTGTGCACCACCACCCTCTACTTAATGCAATGACGAAATGCATATACCTCGAAGGCATTGGGCGAGGATATTGTTGTAATTTGGTATATACCTAAAATAACCTTATAAAAGTTGTGTTAAATGACGTTACCCCCTAGAATAAGTAATATTAGAAGCTCAGAAGCCGCCTCCCTCTTCTCTTTTTTCTCTCTTATCTCTTTTAGGGTTTTAATTTTCTTGGCCGTTTAGGCTGAAAATAGTCTAATTTCTTCGGAAATTAGACTATTTCCGACCCTTTTTCTTTGATTTAATTGACTTAATTGTTATTTGTTTTGTGTTGCTTTGTTTTGTTCTCTCTGTTTGTGAGAGTCTGTCCCAATTAGGGATGGCAACGGGTCGGATCTGGATCAGGTCTGAATGGACCCGGATCCAGATCCGTTTTTGTATCAAGGATCCAGATCCGACCCAGATCCGTCGGGTTTGGAAAGTGGAGACTCGGATCTAGATCCGACGGGTCCAACGGATCCGGGTCCATATCAGGATCCAAAACAGGTCTAATACGTTTTGTCCAATTTTTTGCAATAAATGTAATATTTAAGTCAAAAAATGCATTTCAAACTTCCGTAAGGGGTTATTAAATTCAACCTAAATTTAAGTTATACAACTAATCTAAAAACACAAAACAATCAACTTATACACTTATGTTTTGAAATAAAAATTATAAACAACGAAAAAAGTACGATGTTACAAATGAGCAAGCGAAAAAACAACGATGATGTCTTCGATATGAACATCCAAAATCCATCTCTTAGAAAGGCTAATCTTCATCACTACTAACATCATCAACATTTTTAATAAAGAAACAAACAATTTTAGTTTTTTTTTATATATTTTTTATATTTTTATTTTTTTATAGGGAAATTATAAAACGGGTAAACAGATCAGACCGGAATCCAGATCCGTTTTTTTCAGCAGGACCTGGATCCGACCCGAATCCATGGGGTCCAAAATTTGAAGACCCATATCCGTGAAAAACGGATCTAGATCCACAAACCCGGGTCAAGTCCAATCCACTACCATCCCTAGTCCCAAATTTTTTGGGTTTTTCCCAATTTCCTGGGATCTGATTCTCATCTATGGATGTGAATTTTGTTTTTAGAGTTTTAATAATAATCGAGAAGGTGATTTGGATTCATATGGGTTTAGTGTTTGCCATCAACTCTACGATCAAAACATCAGCGCAGATTGCAAAGGTCTCTACTTGGAAAGATGCAAAGACATCGAAAATCACTGCTCGTGTCAAGTTTGAAGCGGTGGAGTGTGAGCTATGCCCGATATGCAAAGTAGTTATGATTTTTATTATAAAGGTTATGTTATTTTCTCTAAATATGTGGTTTACAAATCTTTATTATTATTACCTTATTATTATTATTATTATTATTATTATTGTTATTATTGTAGATGACGTATGACTATTTATTAATGGTAATATTTATCTTCTTGTAAAAAAAAAAATGGCGTTACCCCCTTTGGAAGGTTACTTCATTTTCTTCCTCACCCAACTTCCATCTTCTTCATCACCATTCTTCATTTTCTTCCTTAGCCACCTTCTTCATCGCCTTCAAGTCGCTTCAATGAAGTCTTCGCCAACATCAAAACCAACACTCCACCGCCATTTTCGGCAACTTAACCGTCGAAATTAAAAAAAAAAAGGAGAAATAAAGTGACATAAAATTGCATATAATTTTACGGTAAAAGCTTGCATACAAACAACAAATGCTTCAAACTACAATCCCGATCGACTAGCACTCCTTAGGCCTTGTTTAGTTCAACTTATTTTTACTTATTTGAGAAAAAATAAGTTCAGATCAGAACATCGTATTATGTGCGGTTTTTTTATCGCTAAATATTCTTAATTTCGTAATGAAAAAAATTGTGAAAATTACATATTAATAAACTACACATTATTAAGAATCTAACAAGATCCCACTTGATATATTTTTTCCTTATAGATTATCGTACACTTAAGGTCAAAGTTTGGTCAAATCAGACAATCTGATCATATCAGACCAGATCAGATCAGACCAGATCAGACCAGATCAGTAAAAATAAGGTGAACCAAACAAGGCCTTACTATGATGGATGATTTTCATTGATCTTCTCTTTATAGAATGTTCCCATTTCAGTGTCAATTGGGTAAGATTCGTTTAACCGAGTTGCTTCATGCCTTCATGTTAATTTTCTAAAATTTAAAAATTTGATTCGTTTAGTATTGTAGTTTTCTAAATTTTGGTTTTTTTTTTAAAAAAAAATAAAAAAAAAAATCATGTACTACATGTCGCTTAATAAGGTAAAAATTAGTTAAACTTATTAAAATCATGATAATTTTAAAAACTAAAAATAGAAAAGTGGAAACAATTTATTTAGGCTTCTTTTAGTATTGTTGTGGTTTTTTGTTTTTTAGTTTTTCAAAATCATAAAATAAATGTCATATAATGAATCAAAAATTAGTAATACTTATTTATATTATGATAATCTTGAAAACTAACAACAAAAAAGTGAAAACACTAACGACAAAAAACGATGCCAAACAAGCCTTTAGTTTTTTTTATTTAAAATTAAAATTGAAAATTTAAAAAAATTGATGCCACATTCAGAGTATTAAGACTTTTAAGAGAAGTAGAAAAGAGAGAGAAGTATCATTAAATTTGGGAACATGAGGAGAGACAACGACTTATGCCCTGAGCATCACCATTTTCTCTTGAGAGCAAAAAGAACGCCCAATGGTGGTGGTGGAAGTGTAATTTCCTACATAGTATAGGTGGTTAGCTGTAAAGGAGAGAAATAATATTTTGGTGCCATGGTGGAGGGCTGGTGGTTGTGAGAGAGGAGACAGTGGGTGACTTTAGGTTCTGTTATGAGGGAGGAGAGTGAGAGCAACGAGGGTAAAAGTGACACCCAAAAAAACAATAAAAAAATAAATAAAAAAAAGGCTAAAACAGAAATATGTCATCTAAAAAGTAACTTTCCTAAGAGGAATGTGTAATCGAATTTGAAATGGAGGAAGTATGTCAGATATAACACCAAATTAAACAAAATTTCAGACTCCCATTTCAACAAAACATAAGTTGCCCAAGTGAGCATACCAATTTCTAGTGAAATTCCCTGCTGAAATAAGACCAGCCAGACACCAATAAAGGTTGGCGCATATCTTACAACTCCTACAATCATAGTTCTCTTTATGCATAGCTTAATTGTCCATTACATACAACGCATTCCATAATCCATGATATATCTCCACTTCTGTTTTGAACCTTGCATCCCTTCAGCCGTGTTCAGCGTGCTTCATATTGGACAACTGCAATGGAAACAGACAAAGTCAATTGCGTAGACGCAACAGTGGGCTAAACACAACAAATCATTTTACAGTTCATGCAGGATACAATATTTCAATGCCTAAAACCACAATCTTCACAACCCTTGTGACAATCACAATACATATCACGCAGCATACAATATTTCAATGCCTATATAATATAATCTTCACACAAACCTTGTGACAAACTCAATTACAAAATACATTGTCTACATATCTTTCTGTTCAAGTAAGACATGATGTAAGACCGCAAAAAGCTCAAAGTAGTGATTGTTCACTATTATTTTGCATTTCCTGTCTACATAACTTTCTGTTCAAGTAAGACATGATGTAAGGCCGCAAAAAGCTCAAAGTAGTGATTGTTCACTATTATTTTGCATTTCCTGTCTACATAACTTTCTGTTCAAGTAAGACATGATGTAAGGCTGCAAAAAGCTCAAAGTAGTGATTGTTCACTATTATTTTGCATTACCTAAAATTATGCTTTAGCCTATGGAAAAAAATAGATAAAAAGCATAAATATAATGGTACTCCCTTCTTCCCGGGAGTTCAATTCACTTACTGTAGACTTTTGTTACAAGGAAAGTTCTGAAAATATAAGCTGGTGTAAGAAAAAGGTTAAAAGAGAAAGAGTAAAATATGGGTAAATAGAATAACTACAAAATGAGTCTAACTTTCTAAAACAGTGAAAAAAGGTTATATATATATATATATATATATATATATACACTACCTCTGTTACACATTATGTGCAACTTTGGAGGAGGCACGGTATCCCAGGCAAAAAATGAAATGGGTAATTAAGAAAAGAAAGGGCATGTGATTAAGGAAGGATAGAGAATATGGGACATTAATTAATTACCACCACCACCAGTCCACCACCCTCAACAACATCGCACCACCACCGCACGTCCGCACCATCACCACCCTCATCAACACCGCAACTCAGACCACCACCGCACCACTGCAACCCCACCTAACCACCAGAAATTCTCCACTCCTCCATTGACCCACCTGTAAAACCACCGTTCACCTTAACTCGAAACTCTCTAAACTCTCCACTGACCCACCTAACCACCCGAAACTCTCCACTCTCCATTGACCCACCTGCAAAACCCACCCTTCGCATCGCGCACATGATCACCCGAACTGACACCCACTTGCCCCGAAAACATGCGAAACACAACCAAGAGCAACCAGAAAACGACGATTTTTTCCCTTTTCGTCTTGAAACCACCAGATCTAAACGACATAGGTAGAGGCGTGGGTGGAGGGTAGTGTAGAGGACAAGGCTCTCGTCGGCGGGGTTAAGAGAGTGGGCCGAGTACAAGGCTCTCGTCGGCGGGGGAGGTCGAGGCAGGGGGGTGGGCGAAGGTGGTGGCCGGAGGAGAGAGAAATTCAAGTTTGAGGTTGAAGATGATGAACATGGAGTTAGGGTTTCAACTTACAGTCAAATTTATTGGAGTTGAAGATGGGTGAGTTTAGATGGGTGGTTGATGAAATGAATTTTAATGAATTGTTAGTTCTTTTTTTTTTTTTTTTTGAGAAATGAATTGTTAGATTAATTAAGTTAGATTAAGATTTTAATAAGGTGTGTTTTATTTATGTAATATCAGTTTATAAAAGTTTAAGCAAGGGTATGGAAGTAATTTCATTAAAAAAATTTACTAAAATTGAAAAGTTTTGGAAAGTTGCACATAATGTGTAGCGGACAAAAATGGCAAAAGTTAAACATAATATGTAACGGAGGTAGTATATATATATATACTTCCTCACATGCAATAAAAACTGTCTCATCGGCGTGAAAAATCCACCACATTTTCGGTAAATACACATCTGAATCGCCAAAGAAACAGCCTGAATCACGAATGAATTGATACTTTTCTCATTTTTTGAGAAAGTTTTATGATTTTAGGAGAAGAAAACTGTAGAAAAGTTTTAAAGTTTGGGCAGAAACAAAAAAGTAAGAGGTGAGGAATCTAGGAAAGGATGAATAGGGCTAGATGGTATATAAGCAAATAATAATTACTAAATCCCATTTTTGGATGGATTTAAAATTAAGATATTGCCTTAATAAAATCTCTTGACATGCAAGCAACCAGAGATTGTTACAACTAGGAAAAACAAAGAAATCAAAACTACTAAATCCTATTTTGGATGGACCTAAAATATAAATATTGCATAGATAAAAACTCTGTTGAATTGCAAACAACCAGAGCCTACACACTGCATCAAATATATTCCATTACTGAAAAATGCAAATCCACTAGAAAATAAAACATATGCAAAACAACAGTCCATAAATTTTAATACTAAAATAGTGAGCAAAGGGCTCAGACGATTTGGCCCCCATTCTTTAGCTTAAGTATAATAACAAAAGGTTTAAATTTAAAAGTTTCATCCAAATTTTCATGCTATACGAAAGATAAATTCTAATAAATCACAATTCATGGAACCAGAGAGCAAAGTACATGATGGTTTTGATAATTTCTGTCTAAAGAGCATACTAACTTGCTCAGCTCAAGATGTAGATTTAGCTTTAAAGCTCACATTAAAAGGGGGAAGGCAGTTGCATCTCTCAGTGTAGATCTCCACAACACAAAACAAAAGTGTCAATATCTAGAAGACTACAGCTAGTGTGTAAATGGTGAGATTTAAGAATGATCAACATGTCCATCTTATAGCTGCTAATATGAAATGTAGCACACAGGAGGAGCAATCAGAATTCAAAGTAAAAGCTGATTGCTGAATATTTTGGAATAAAAATTATAAATTTTTATTTAAAAAAAATTTAAAAAAAAAAAAAAAAAAAATAATGATAGTCCACATTAAGAGTAAATTTAGGAGAGGGAGCCCCAGTTTGTATATCAGCCTTCAAAAACAGAGGAATTGCCTCGGTTTGTATATCGGCCTTCAAAAACATGGGAATTACCTTAAGCTGCTATTTCATATAGCAGTTTTACCCTAAAACTGCTACTACCCTATTTTAAAAGTCTGATATACAAAGCCTTATTAACTTGAATTTCCCCCATTAAAGGAAATCATACACTTTAAAACCTCCCAACAATTCATGTTAAGCAATTCATATGCTCGTTAAAACTTCCAAATAATCACATACCCCAAAAATTGCCACAAACAAGTGCACAAATAATCAATAGCACAAGGATCCACTAGCATTCGAAAAAACCTTACAGTTCACTATTAATAAACTATGAGTCAAATCCACATTCAGCAACAACCATATAGTTTTCCAACTTTTCACCATTAGAAAGAAATTCCTAAGAATGATATCAACCCCAAACTACTGCATAACCGAATCAAAATACACTAACCATCAAAAGGACATTATTTGCTTAAAAGACAAACTAAAGTAGCCAAAGAACCTACAAAATCCAACTCAGAGCACACAAGTGTCAACCAAAACACTTCCCTAAAGTTCATACAACGAAACTAATGTTGTAATTCTTCAACTCCAATATATTAACAGAATATAAATGCACCCTAAAAGAACATACATAAACACAAATAAAAAGAAAAAAAAAAGTAATAAATAAAAAATAAAAAAATAAAAACTGAATATGTACAGAATCAAACTTACTTCGACGAGTTCTTTTCTTGTAGAGAATGCGATAACCACATTCTCTACACTGGATGACATCTCCCGGCTTCAGAGTGTTCTCTTGCCCACAATCTACACAATCACAAACAATATTAATTTTCAAATAATCCATCAAATTTTCTGCCAAAATATGGATTTAATAACTGACATGCAATTCATAATTGTAGGAAAATTAAAATACCTCCACAGATGTAGCTTACTGGTTCAGGTTGAGGATCCATTGCAATATAAGAAACCCTAAAAAATCAGATAAAGCAAATTAGGGTTTTCAAGAAAATAAAAAGAGGTGAACAATTCAATTTTGTAATGTGGCCGATCAAATTATGATAATTTGTGTTTAAACAAGATAATTCATCAATTACTGGCTTACTGCTAGGGTTTTGCTAAAATATTAGGTTTTTGGCCCAGAAAGAAGACGTATAATTTCATAGTTGAATCCTAACATTAAAGGTTTCTGCAATACATTAGCAACTAAATTTGACTCAATTATCGAATAACCTTCGAAAAATCACATAATTTTAGGCTCATAATTTTCTTTTAATAATCTTAGTAATAGGAACCAATAGTTAAGATTTTTGAAACAACAACTTACCTCAGAAGCTGCTTCAATGGGGGATACAAGTATTTCAATGGAGAACGTCAAGTGCGCTTCAATGGAGAACTGAGACTTCTGAGAGGTTTCTAATTGACAATTAGAGCAATTCATTGGGTTGAAGTCCTATTAAAAGCCCTGACCCGCCCCAATTATATACGTAGGGTCAAATCCGTCCAATAAATAAATTGGGCGGGTTTTCATACAGTTGTCTAATGACGGATCCTTAACGGGTTTGAAATTAGAAATAATCTCTTTTATAAAATACTTTGTACCATTTTCCTTCAAAAAATAAAAATAAAAATAAAAAATTATTTCTACCATTTTTATTTATTCTTTTTAATACTGAAAAATTTCATTAATAAAAAGTCATACGACATCTGTAAAAGAAATTCAACTTAAAAAAATACATAAGATATTGAATCAAATAAAAATTTCCGTCAAAACAAACTACTATTGTTGAGTAAATCTTGTATTGTGGAACATCTCCTACTTATGTTGATGAAAATACAGCTTTGTTGGAGAGAGAATCTAACGATCCTTTGTGGCCAAGGAGTTTTCCTCTGATTCATCTAACTATATTCGAAAGCTTGATAACCCTTGCGATTTCACATAATTTTTCCCAACGAAACAATTTACAACAATCCATTAGATCTAATATCATGAATTCAACCCTAAGAAATTTCTCCCCCAAACAGAGGAGATAAACCTTGTCTATCGAAGGAGGTCAAAAAACCCTTGTCTTTCGAAAGAGATCGAAAACTCTTTCTTTCGAGGGAGAAAAGTTTCACCCAAAAGGAGGAAGCATTATTAGAGCAACTCCAATGACAAACTAATTGTCAAATTAGCTTCCCATGCCATATAAGCTTTTAAGCTAATTGTCATTTTAGTTAATTTGAGCTCCAATGGTTAACTATTACCTTACTATTTAAATGGACGACACCTCTTTAATTTACATTTTTAATTTTTTATCATTTTATTTATTTCAGTAATTTTTTTTCAAGCAAATTAGCTTTGACAAAGCTAATTTGCTTGGCCAAGCTAATTGCATTTTCTAGCTTCAATGGTCAAGCTAGTAGTTAGGGATTCTTTGATATTGCAAGCAAGTCCCTAGCTACAACCATTGGAGTTGCTCTTATAAACCTAAAAAAACTTTTAAAGAAACAAGGATTGAGGCTTTCTAGTTTCCACCGGTTAAAATCGATGGAAGCCCTTTCAAAAAACAACAATGGAGGCTAGGGTTTAGAAAAGAGGAAGGAGAAGAGTGGAGAGAGTGATGAAGTTATATCATTATTACTTTGTACCAATTTCTCTTCTACCTTTCCGTTCACCAAAGCTTGTATTTGTTGTATAAAAGATTGTTTTGGGGTTTTTTTTATTATTTTTTTATTTTTTAATTTTTATAAAAGGAGAGATAAAAAAGCGCAGTGTCAAGAATCAAACGTCACAATTTTCATCCTTTAATAAACCTAAATTCGACTTTTTTCTCTTTTCGATCTATTATATTAGGTTTTCAAAATCTAAGGGTTTTTTTATTTTTTATTTTTTTTTTTGGTGATGAAATATGAGAATTGACCCTTGATTTAGGGGTTTTGAGGCATAATTCTATGATTCTTCTCTAAATTTTTCTCTCTATAATTGGCTATGACAGACATAAAAAGTCACATATCGGTCCATCTACCGAGAAGAGAGAAACAAGATGTAATTTTTTTCAAAAGTAAAAGGGTTGGGGCATGCAAAAATAACAGCTCTTGACCCGACCCGTCCCACTTAAATTTTAATGTGACCCGCCCTGCCCATGACTTGACCCATTAAACAAGTTCGTTGATAAGATTCATTAATGTAGCATGTACCCCTTATAATTATATATTTTGATTTATTTTGAATTTGCAATAATTGTTTTATTCTTCTATTTTTCATGTTATTGAACCTTTTTTCCTATACTGTACTTGGGTGGTGTAGATCTCGACCACGCATAATGTATATTCAACGTAGATTTTTTTTTTTTTTGACAAAAAATAGTATGTATATATAAGTACTGAATAGCTTTGGACTTTTTTTTTTGACATTGGAAAAAACATTATATTAATCATAAAACAAATTACACACTAAAACATTACGGTAGGACCATACAATCTCTTTCTATTGGAAAAATCAGATGTTTTCGGAGGAGCAAGACGCTCTTCTCTTAGAGCCACTCATCCTAAAAAACAAGGAGGTAGTAATAACAGTGAGAGTTTAACTTCTTTGACAAACATTTTTCCTTTTAACTCTGGAACGGCGGGAGGAGCCAAATATCTTCGAAGTCTTAGGGGAGCACGTTTTGGGGTTCGTAGTGGACTTCAATTGGGAAAGGATTGGTGCATCTGGAAGGGGCATCGACGTACTTTCACATTATGATGCATGAGTGACTATACCTGTGTTCGAATCTTCTTGCGTCAAGATTGGAGTTGTTTCACACCTATCATAATGCCCTTCAAAAGGGGGGTGACTAATCTCCATTAGTGTAGAAATTTCTTGAGTTTCAAAACAATCCATCTTTTTTGGAGGATCAAATACTCGGATGCTAATAATATTCTTCCTAGAAAAACAATAATATAGTAGAGTAGTGTTCGTCCCTTGAAAACCGCCCCAGACATTAACAGGGTGAGATGCAGATAAGAACCAATTTGTTTTCGATTTGAAAAAAAAACGATAACCTGACCCTGTAAGATTTGTTTTTTTTTTTCTTCTGAAGTTGAATTTTGAACATAATTGTTATCAATAAGTACATTGGGCCTTTCATCTTGATCGGAAGGGTTGACCTTACCCTCCAAATCCAAAGATTTGCCAACAACTTTCTTTTCCATTTTGGTGTCATCTTTTACACTAGTACATCTACGAACACAACCATTTTTCATGATTCATCTCCTCCTGTCCTTTTCCCTTTCTTTCCTACCTTTCTTTTTTCTTCGTCCTTCCCAAACTAAACAAAGTCTCTAAACCTCTCATCCTCTGTTGTAACCACAAGTGCATCATCAACAAAACTCTAAGACCAACCCAATCTAAAGGTCACCTCCTTGAGTTTTTTTTTTTTTTGAAACTCTTTGTTGTTGGGAGCAATCTTAATTGGTTTTGAAAGATCCATGAAAGCTAAGCTGGCTTTGTTTAGCTCTAATGCTGCTACCGCTCTTCTAAAGTAAGCTTTCACATTTGAGGTATCATAACACAATATCGCCAAACACAATTGACCCACCTTGTTAAAATTTCTCTCTTTCACATAACATACACCTAAGTTCAAATTAAGAGACACATCAAAGCTCAAAAAACCTGATTTATCCTCATCAAAAGACAAGATTTTGAGTGCAAAAGAGTATTATGCAATGGCTAAAACAATATTACTCTGCTTATACAACTAGTTACCCTCATCTTTATTTAAATTAAACTCCTAACAAATTTCAAAATATCTAAACACTATATTTTCTCTAATTTATGAGAAGAGAAATCCTCCTCTTTAACATGAGAAAAACACAAATCTCCCCTAAGTTGCTCAAAACCATCCATAACACTTAAAATACTAGTAGTAGTATAAAAGACAACACTGAAAACTAGATAATAAAGGCCATAAAGATAGAAAATAAATTGCTTACATAAACTAAACAAATAAGGGACACAAGCCCACAAACCTTCTTGAACTTCTAACAACGCTGAACACTTCCCACCAGGTTAACTAACCAAATATCCCTTTGTAATTAACAAACAGAGCGTGTTTATGATCCAACCAATTACAATTCGACTTGTTCTAATCCATTACCCAATTAACCCAACTTGTTTAAGTCTTGACTCGATTTTTAACAGATCTGTTTCTACCCGCAACCCGATATTCAACTTAATAGGAGCCGAGTCTCGATTTTTGTAATACCTCGTATTTTTATATGAATTTTAATTTAAATAAGTATCTCTTAAAGTATTTAAATAATTCAAAATGAATTATTTATGGTTTTTATCAATTTTAAAAGAATTAATTTAATTAAAAAGTTTATTTTTAATTATTTAATAATCTTGAAAATATTTTATTTTATGATTTAAAAATATTGGGGCATACTATTTTATAAAAAGATAATTTTTAAAGTCAATGGTATTTAAGGAAAGTCAAAATACTAGTTTGACTAGGAAATGGATCATTAAGGGTAGTAAGGGAATTTTAAGTAGGAGGGATATTGAGAGGGGGTATAAATACCCATCATATGCCTAAGGTGGAGTGCACCCAAAGGTAAACTCTTTCTCTCCTCTTATTTTCTTTTCCCCTTAATTTTTCCCCTTCCCCTTTAATTTAATTTAATTTATTTTATTCTATTTTATTTTAATCACCACCACACACACCGGCTGGCCACCACCGCCAGCCTTCGCCGGTAGCAGCAGCCACCAGGTGGCATGGCAGCAGCCAGCCTAGGTGGTTGTGTGCGCCGGTGGTCTTCAAAAAAAAATTATTTTCTTTTTATTTTTAATTAAATTTACCCTAATCTAATTATTTTTTATTTATTAATGTGATGCTTTATTAAATGTGTGGTTAGTTAGCAATCAATATTTGGTTGAAAAGCTACAAATTTTGGGAGTTTTAAATTCCAATTTGTTAGCTTAAAATTTAATGTGTATGCTTCAAAGGTGTAAACTAGTTAGGTGAGTGTCTAACTTGAGAGCTAGCCAAGACCGTATTTAATAAAGACCCCTTTATGAATTCAGGCGAGGAAGAATGACAGGAAGGAGAGGTAACAACAATGATTGTGGAGAGTTGAGTGAAGTTGTGAGGCAGTTGGCAGCTGTTGCTCAACAATTAGCAAGGAACTCCACCAATAACGTAGATGCTCAGGGAGAGCTGTTTAAGAATGTGGCGCAAAGTAAGCCACCAACCTATCAAGGAGAGCCTGATCCAACTATACTAGAAAACTGGTTGAGGGAGTTTGAGAAACTATTCGGGGCAGTAGGGTGTCCAGAGAACTCAAAAGTAGGTTGTGCTACCTATTACCTTAGGGGCGAATCTGACCTTTGGTGGCAGCAAAATGAAGCTACCATTAAGGCATTACCTGGATTTAATTGGACTATGTTTCAGGAGAAGATTAGGGACAAGTTTTACCCTAGCTTCTTACAGAAAAAAAAAAGCTGAGG